GGCCGTATAGTCCTGGAGGCATGTAGTAGCATTAACAAAATGTACTTGTACATGCATTTCACTTACAGATGTTAGGATGTTCAGGAGAACTTGCACGTCTTGTTCCGCCGCTCAGAACCTTTCAGCGTGCCACTAGGTTCTCTTCCAGTTCTCATCAATACACCGTTAACATACCTGTCTCCAAGTCGTTTTACAAGAACAGCTTCTTTCCCCGGTTCAACAGCCCTTACGTGTGTGTGAAGGATACAAAATCACCTTCAAGTGTAGTCGTCAAAGTATACAAGGGATTTCCAGGCAGCATTTAGTTTTTACACAGGGTTTGAAGTCTATCGAGTTTCCATTGCAAGAAACATAACCATAGGCTTTTTTCTATAATGTGCTAACGTTAACAATAGCCTGGGTTGTAACATTACAATGGCACTCCTGGCTAATCATTGGTTTACGGTAACTGCAAGGTTTCGGCTACATGTAGAGGTCCCGATGGTGGCAATAAGATGCCGTTGTTTAATACACGTAGCTTAATATATGTATATATATAAAACATTATTGCAAATTCATGCCCGAGAGCTAATTGCAAGAAAATAGAACATGCATTATAAAATAATGGTAAACGGTAAAAATAACAATAAAATAATACTATTAAATGTACTAATGCTAGTTCTAATATGGTTATTGTTGGGTTTGATTTCTTATTTTTTGTGTAGCTTATAAGTTTCCTACAGGCCTTTCTAATTATCGCAGTTCTTAAGAATAGTTAATCTTCACTAGCCGTATCCTTCTAAGCACAGGCCTTTTTTGGACGACCTATTTCTTTTTAGTTTCTAATTTCTAGCATCCCATAGCGAATAATTGAAACTAAAACCGCAAAACGTTCCCCGGCGTATGGTAAAAGGCCTGAGCGGGCTGGCAACACTCCAAACACCGAAGAGAAACCCGTGAGCCCCCGATGGATTGGTTATCGGGCTTGAGCTGGCTAATAAATTATTCATATCCATTTTATTACTTCATTTGTCAACAAATTGTTGGTGGAGAATTGAAGGTCAACTTGATTTAACAGATCAGCCCCACACGTAGAGATCTAAATTGCAAAACCAACGAAAATCAATTCCACTTGGTATTAAATAAATTATTCATATCCGTTTTATTACTTCATTTGTCAACAAATTGTTGGTGCATCGTTCAAGGTCAAGTTGGTTTAACAGTTCTACGGCAAGTATTGATCTAAATTGCAAAAGCAATGAACAGCAATAAATGTCTCATTCCAGTCGCTTCAATATTTCATGGGTCTCGTAATGAAAAGTGTAGCTTTTACGCAATAGCTGTGTTATATATGTAACTTAACGTCATTGTAGGCGTGACTGGGTTTTATATGACCTGCAAAACGTACTTCAATAGAGGAAGGTATTTTCAGGAGGATTATAGAATGAGAGATTTTCAAATTGCAAACAGACTCTAATATTTCCCCTGTGTTTAATTTTGATAAAGTCTCTGACACATATGCAATCAGAAAACTAGCCGGACTTCCCTTAACTTTGGTTAGGAGTAGGTTAGGAGCAAGGTTGGCTAATATTGTACCGGGTCGGCTACTGTTCGGCTGCGCCGGCCGAATGTTTCAAAATGTTTAAAACATTCGGGTGATGACGAAGGGTTCGGCCATGGTTGGCTAGATGTTGGCCTGTGTTCTGAGGTAGGTCGGGGTGTACGTGTGAAATTGGCAGTAAAATTTGACACAAATTTAATTCAAATTATCAAAAGGTAGGTCTGGCCTAAGTCTGGTTGGCTGGTGTTTAGGGGAAGGGTTTTTATTGAGCAACATAGAAACTTACAGGATACAGTGGTGGGTAACTCTAGCAGGTTAATAAGCTAACGAGTAACAAGTAACAAAACAAGATATCAACGAGAACATGTAAAAGAGGTTCATAATGTTTTTAAGGTCCGAGAGCAAGAATAGATATAAGAACTCGCCTATACCGTTTATGGTCCGGCTCCTCAATAACTATGGACTGAACCCCTGACTGTTGTCTTTTTAAATGTAGTACACTGTTCTGTATCAAATGTTGTCCGGGAAATTTATAATGTATGAAACATGTATTTTTATTGTTTTGTTGATCGTACGCCTATATTGATTGCAAACCTGCAGTTTTAATATACTAATTTTTTTGTAAATTGGTTTACAATTCAGTTGTTTTTAACTGCAGAGAACCAATAAATCCATCTTGAATCGAACTTGAATTTCCGTACGCAGATGAAAACATTAAATCAAGGTGGAAAGTTCTGACGTCTGACGAGCTTTCTAGCAAAGGCCAGTGACCTGATTTGCCTCAGGCCAAGCAGGCTCTCTGTGTTTCTTCGTGACTGATTGCGACAACTAACAGCAACAGGCTGGGTACAGCTGTGATGGATTGCCTGGTTATTTTCTTTGACATCGGTGCACCGCTCCATTAAATACCAACTATTTGTTACAGGCTTTATGTGGCTTTCTCGTAACACCAAGTGAGCTCTTCGAATGCATGCATACGTGTTAATAAACTATGAGCGTAAGCCAGGTCTTCTTAAAAGATTACCCAAAGGAGCTAGCATTCTGACGTACAAAGTGAGGATTTCCTCGACTTAGTGCTAAAGGATTACGTTCGGTGGTCGGTTCACTGTTTGGATCGCTCGACGTTTGGATGTTTAAAATTACCACATAAGTCTATGTGCATTTGTGAGAAAAAGATATGTGCATATTTTCTGTAGTTTCTAAATCAGCCTTGTTAGTTGTATACCATTCTGAAATATGCCAATGTATCACTAAAGGTAGAGAAACTATCCATGTATATGTACCTCTCGCATTGCAAATATTACTAAGTAACGACAAAATGTTTGTAATTCTATCCTATGATACGATTGTATCTTTTGCCATTAATGTAAAGGTATCAGACAATTTGGCAGGATAATTAAGTGAAAGATTTGTTCAAACAGACAGAAATTGATGAATGTGATGTAACTGTTTATCATCTATTTACACATGTATTCGATACTCAATAAAGAACAGAGATGCAAAAAAAATTACCACATGAATGAAAACCAAGCAGGTGTCATGAGGGAAAGACCTGCCGAATGAAACGAGAAGTAACGCATATTCCCAACATGTAACCGCTTATAAATTATTACAGAATATCCCTTCTATGTTAAAAAGAGCTTATTATATATTTACACATTTGCATAAAGTCTTATTAGTATAAGTCCAGTTCAAGTCACCAAGGTGACCAATTATTTGAGTCACACATCGCCATCACATTCACGTCACCCAAACAGCTATTCGTATTTCCATCTTGCTAGCTTTTTCTAAAGCATTTATTTCTTTTTTCGTTTGCCTACGTCTGATTAGTTATCTCCTATTTGTTCCAAGCTTACGTTGTTCATTTGTCAGACTTCAACACGTTCAAAAGTTTTAGAAGTTACAAACTTGCAACACATTTTCTTACTTCAAATCCAAAGGCGGCAGCAGCTAGGTTCAAGGCAACTGTACAAAGATCACCGTTCGCTTTAGAAGTTCACCGAAACATCCGGACTTGCTTTTGACTTCAGAAAGTTGGCATTGACCTATGCACAAGGTCTGTCGACCTTTATTTACGAATCATCTGGCGTCCGTCCGCCGTTGGCGTATAGAACGGACACAATAGCAATTTAATCACCAAAGGACAGCTGCCAGATTTGAAGAAGAGATAAAGGTAGTTGACCTATGGTGCACAACACCTGATGGACCTTCACAGATAGATGATGTTGTTCCGTACAATGGTTTTGGTTCTCAATTGACCCTTAAAGGCTAAGGGTCCTGCGTAAGCAAAAAGTCAATTTGGCACGCTACACCACATGAGACCAGCACTAAGCAAGGCATAAGCAATAAAGATAAGCCTATGACGTTTATGAAAAGTGGCAGTTACACTGAATGTGAGTTTTCGGGGCATAAAGACACAAGAGCAACTAACTTATTTTCACTTGTTTGCATATCAATCAATCAATACTGTAAATCACTTTATGTTCACGGTAGCAAAATTTCACGGTCTGAGAAAAATGGACATGTTCACGGAACTATATATTCACGGTGGCAACAGGTGCAGGAACAAGAAAGTCCAGGAATTATTTGTTAACTGTAATGATAAGTTCACTGTACAGAAGTGACAGTGAAAACAGTGAACTTATCAGTACAGTGAAAAAATCAGGAATTACAGTAGTTCGTACTTATAAACCTGCTTTTCTGTCAACTCTCCGGTGTCACTGACGAAAGGTAGTTGATTTTTTTTCTGCCATGTGCTACCTGAAACATCTGGCTATTCCCAAAACCATATCCACTTGTTTTGGGCGTATCTTATTACCTGGAGGTCTAACCTTCACCGAAGTAGCGACTAACTATGCTTCTCTGATCATGTACTTTCAACTTGCGTGCAAAAATAGCAAGCCTGCCAAACAGGGTTGAAATGGTTTCGACAGATATACCAATATGGCATTGAGCAAGTTTTTTTTTTTTTTTCCAAATGCCTAAATGTTTCTAGTAAAGATGATATTACATGGCGTACAGATTAAAAAAAATCCATATGCATCCTCATACACTTTTCTCCAACTAACGCTTGATAGATCTTGTTCTTTGCCTTTTCAGCCTTTGGGTCGATGCTGCCACGGTTCACAAGCTTCAAGGAAAGACATCCATTCATTCATCGACTTGAGCACAGCATCCCTGCATTCCCAGCACGTGGAGCTACACAGTCGAGTCGAAAGAATCGAAGTCAACCCCCATTAGAGCTTTCTGTTAGATAAACGATTTCACATTCGCTAAAGACCAAGGCCAATACGGAACTCAAGTGTGAATGCCAACTCGGATTTCCACGAAAAGCTAGATTAAAAAGCGCGCGTGGCGAGATTGCATAACCAGTACAAGAGCGTTGGCCGGAACGGAAGTTTTAGTTTTCTAGAATAGGTACTTTCTACAGTTTGAAAGATAGTTTCATACAGACGTTGCAATGGATTCAGAACTAGAATCGCTTTATCCTACAGACCACCCTCTACTCGAGCACATCACCGGCACGTATTCCCCACACAGTTTCAACATGACCTCCTGTCTACACTATCTGTCCCAAAACTACAACCACACAGCCTCCAACAGCTTTCAGGACATACTCTCACAAATCCCGTCGTATTGCCAGCAACTTCTTCTCGAGGCCGCTGCTATGGATACCCACGCTATTCACCCCGACTTGGAGGCCGCTAAAGCTTCCACCGTCATCCGAACTGTCCTCGGCATAGTGTACTCCCTAGTAATGGCGGTGTGCGGGTTTGGCAACTTGCTCCTCTTGCTCGTCATCTTCTGCTACAAGAAGAGCCGCAGCGCCACCAACATGTTGATCAGCAATCTCTGCTTCGCTGACTTCTGTGTGGCGGTGTTCTGTATCCCGCTACAGTTGGACTACTACGTGATCCGGAACCAGGACTGGATGTGGGGAGGCTCCATGTGTAAAGTGGTCTCCTTCATCCGGATGTTGAGCCTGTACGTCTCGACAAACACTCTTCTGGTCATCTCCATCGACAGGTCAGTTTTTTTACTCAGCCTATAGACATTATAGAGTAGTATCAGGTTAATAACATTAAGGATTGGGGGTCATGTGGCGTAACGGCAGAGTGCTCGACTCGGAACCAAGAGGTCCCGGGTTCGTGTCCTGCCATGTCACCGATCTTGTGTCCTTGGGAAAGGCATTTTACACGACTTTCCTCGCTTCGCTCAGGTGAAAAAAAAGTATTGTGTTGTACCTTATGTTGGTTGCGGCATAATATAAGTTGAAAAAAAACTTGAGTGTGCCGTCACCATTAATACATGTTGGAATATAAAAACATTAGGAATAAATCAATGATAAGATAATGATACTTTAAATCAACATAGCAAAGACAGCTCAGCTCAAATTTTCGGTTGCTATTACGTTAATCTTCTTCAGTGTGATGATCCAGTTTCGCCGAGGTACGAATAGTTACTGAATCATCACTGCTAAAGAAGGTGGATGAAAGAAGAAGAAGAAGGTCTCCCGTGATCTTATGCAGAGCGTAAGGTGGTGCCCATCTCCATTTCCGTAGTCCTTGGGCGACATACAGTTGTGCAGGGCACTACAGCAGGGAGCTTGTCCGCTGGTAGTGTTGTGTGTTTGACCTTCCCATACCCTGTCTCATATGTGCTGAGTGCTAAGCAGAGAAATAAGTGTGTACCATTTTCAAAGTCTTTGGTATGACCCGGCCGGGGTTTGAACTCATGACCTCCCGGTTACAAAGCGAGCACTCTACCAATTGCGCTATTGCACCGGTATATTGACGAAAGAGCAGCCGAGAATTTAAGCTGAACTGTCTTCGCTGTATTGATCAACACAAATAAGCTTTCATGCTAATATAAGAATAACGGAATGATGTATTATTAAAGAATAATGTGATTTGATTTTTTATGTGGTTGCCAAAGAAGTTTCGCTATCCCATTGAAGCCAGAATACTTGTCGAAGATTTTGTCTTAACTCTTCTAGTACAGTCATATTTCACCCTTTTCTATAACGTTATCTTCCAACACAGATGGACTTTAATGCTAATGCAATAAAAATGATTTACCAGACGCCATTTTAAAGATAATCAATATTATTTCACCTCTGAACGCAGATAAACTTTATAAATTTAGACAAGATATTATCCTTAACGGAACTTCGGTGCGTTTCTCAACTTTGTTGACATTTAAACCAGACAGACCATTATTAAGTTTAAAATCAATATTGCCGTTATTGCTTTATGACCAAGATTAAAACCATTAAGCGGAAGTCGAAATGCTTTGCAATGCTGAAATAAACATTTGATGTATTGCAGAAACAGTAATCAAAGGTTTTATGGATCAATTACGATTGAAGTAGTCCTAGAATTACCCACACGTTATCTAAATTTACATTAAACGACTAAGGAGACTGTAATGGTATCGATAATTACTGCTGATGCTGTGAAAATTACACGGTTGTAAAACGTGGGATATCTAGACTACATCACGCTTCTAGTAGCTACTGGTCAGGCCCATAGAAACTTCTCTAAGTGATAAAAACAGCTCTAAGTGATAAAATGTAGAACATAATGTATAGATGCTACCATAGAAAAATTACTGTCAGCTCAGACTGTGGACTAAAAAACAGTTACTCAGGCACCTTGATATCATTTTGGAAACTACCTTTCGTCTGTGACACTGGAGAGTTTTCAGAAAAGCAGGTTTATAACTATATTGATTGATTGATTGATTGATTGATTGATTGATTGATTGATTGATTGATTGATTGATTGATTGATTGATTGATTGATGAAAATAAGTGAAGACAAAATTTTTGAAAGTCCAAAACCGTTTCTAAAAGCATCCAGTTGCTTGAGTGGCTGGTTTGGCGTATCTCATTACCTGGGTGTCTAACCTTTACCGCGACGTTACATAAAGTCGACTTAAAAGTGTTTAAAAAAACAACTACCCATTATATAATTAATCTAAACCGCCTTTGCCGCTGGCGTAAGGTAACGATCTTGTTAGCAGCTCCATTCATGCGTATAGATGTGCTTTGATTGGAGGTGCTATCTAGGCCTATAGGTCTCTACGCAAATGTCAATAGTGCTGTACGGTAGTTCAAGCACGTTACTTGAACAATCTGGATTCTGGTTGAAAACGGTATAAGGATTATCGATTGAATATTGGCCCGAACATAAAACGCCAAGCAGTTACATCTGTATACATTTCTTATACCCAACTAGAAAAAGTAACATTTGCAAATGTATTATGTTAACCTTCGCATATGGTCTGCTCTGTTAATTCTTACTCAAACACATTCACATATATTGTGACAGGAATCTAAATCCCTCCTACTATAAAATTGCAACATTATGTAATCAGGTCGTTGGTCAGGTCAGGGGGTCACTGTTTGGAGGAGAAGAAGAAGAAGAAGAAACGTAACAAAAACAAAATGTTTTCCTTCGGTAAACATAACAAACACACAAGCCAGTTCTTATAACAACAGTGTTCTCCCAAAGCAGATATTTGGGCTTCGGCTTATTTTTGGCGTGTTTTGGGTGGTTTTTATCGGACTCTCTTTTTATGCAATGGCAGCTTCTTTTACACCAGCTACACGCCAGCTTGACGGGTGGTAAATGGTAACTCTGGAAAATGGATATTGTCTAGCCAATTTGATACTGTTTTCGCAGCCACCAAAATATCTGCCTGGAGATATGATAACAGTATTCAATTGAATGATATATAATAATTGCGCAAATGTGAAAGAAGATCTTGGAAGACCGCCAAAGAATTGTACTATTACTGGAGATTGCAGCTGCCGAAATATCTGCTTGGATATTAACAAGTGTTCAATTGAATGATATAAAAATTGCACTAAAGTGAACGCAATGTCTCTAGGAACACTTCCAAACAATTACACCATTACTAGGGATAGGAACACAGGCATTTTTGAAGTAGGGCGCCGAAAACACTGTTATCGAATGGTTGGAATTCACCGAACGTATATTCTTCTTACATTTTCTAGATGCCTGGTAGTGAGAAGACAGTTTAACGGTAAGAAGACGAGACGGAGCGTGGCTGTGGTGTTGGCCGTGGTTTGGACCGTCTCAGCCCTGGTAGCTCTCCCTTCGGCCCTCTACGCCAAGGTAGGAAAAATTGATATGAAGTAATTATATCATGCAAATATCCTATGGATTTTGTAATTAAAAAGGACAAATGATGAGTGTATCATCATCAGCAAGCTTTGTGGAAAAATTGGCTTCATGCCATTTACCAGGTTAAAGAATGGTTTATTTCTCTAAAACGACGTCCTGGTTGCGGCAGCTGTTACAGAGAGAGTTTACAGTAGTTACTGGATAATGGTGTTTTCCGTTAGTCAGTAGTTACTGGGTAACGGTGTTTACCGTTAGTCAGTAGTTACTGGATGTCAATAGTTACTGGATTATGGTGTTCACCGTTAGTCAATAGTTACTGGATTATGGTGTTCACCGTTAGTCAATAGTTACTGGATTATGATGTTCACCTTTAGTCAGAAGTTACTGTGATGAGTATGAGATGTCATCCCCACCTCGTTGTATCCGTATACGGCCGAATTGTCAGGCCTTTTTTACATGCATTAAAACATCATATATATTTGACACATGACATTATCACTAGTACTATGCCTAGCACGCCACGACGAACAAAAAGACTTGAAATTTCCGTACAATGTTTTGAAACGTTGTGTTAACTATGGCATCCCATTTCTACACAGACCCACCCTCAACGGAACAGTAACCACACGTCCTGTGTCCAGGCGTGGCCAGTGAGCCAGATATTTGCCTACAAGGCGTACTTCATGTTCCTGATGGTGGCTGAGTACGTGGTGCCGTCACTCTGCATGGCCCTGTGTCTGCTCTTCGTCTGGTGCAAGGTACGTACACATATCATAATATACTAGTACTGTAATACTACATTGTGTAGACATATATCCTTCCTAGACTTCGATGTATAATGCTTCTGTATGTAGTGTTTAAAAGTCTGCAGTTTAGCAGTAGTAGACTGATTTTTTTATACTTGCATAGCAAGAGGACAATACAGTCCGTTGTGCATTAATACACAAAGGGCAATTGATTTAGTCAAATATGATTCAAATTTAACTCAAATTCGACTCGTATTGAAATATAAAGTGTCAAAGTATCAAGTATAGGAGTGTCCAAAATCTGGTCAGATTGCTTCGGAGCTTCCGGTATTTGGGGGCTCTGGATATGTGATGGGGACTTGAAGAGGAATTCTGCACTGTAAAAGCACAAATACTAAAAACACGCGGACTATCATACCTCATTTTACCTCTGACTACTGTGGTGTTGACATGGGTAGAGATCTGGCTAAGACAGTAACCAAGACAAGTTTCTCTTCAAGCTAGTAGACACTTCGATTTCTTTTTCCGCCGCTCAGAACCTTTCAGCGTGCCACTAGGTTCTCTTCCAGTCCTCATCAATACACCGTCAACATACCTGTTTCCAAGTCATTTTTAAACAACAGCTTCTTTCCCCGGACTGCAAAATTATGGAACTCTCTTCCAAACAGCTGCTTTCCGTCCGATTACAATCTACAAACCTCCAAACATAGGTCCACCGCCATCTCCTGACATAACTACATTATACTCACTAAGTACCTCTAGCTCTAAGCCTAGAAGTGGCCAAAAATAATTGGCATTGCATTGAGCGACACCGTTAAAAAACATAAGGACAGATACCTCTTAACTACGTTGCTCTGGGCATCAAATTCTGTAGTTTAAGTTACAAGCACTAAGCCTAAAGGCAGCTCATGTTGTTCCTGCAGGTCTGGGGCCGCCGTTTCCCCGGCACTGAGAACGCGTCCATCCGCCGAGCGAGAGAGAAGTCCCGCAAGAAGACCATCCACCTGCTGATCCTGGTCATCATGTTCGTGGTGTGCTGGACGCCCTACTACACCTACAGCCTAGTCCGGGACTTCTTCGACGTTCTCCAGACCTACCACCTCAAGACAGACCTCTTCTACATCGCCGAGGTTTTTGCTAAGAGCAATAGCATGATCAACACCGTGGCTTACATAGTCTTCAACGAGAATATCATGATGTACGTGCGGAGCTTGGCCGGGTTCTTGCGGGCACACCTGGGGAGAAGGCGGAGGATCAGCCGGTACGGGTCCCAGCCCACTGTGAAGTCAAGCCTGCGGAGACGGCCGATGATGGTGGAGGTGGAGATGGCGGTGTTGCCGCCTGAGAACGGCAGCAGCCCGCGGGGGAAGGTGTACCTGTCCCCGGTCCGCACCACCGCGTGTAGCGTCTACTCTACCCCGGTACACCGAAGAAACGTACCGGCAGTGGCCTCTGATACTCGCCTCTGAGTGCATTAGTTTGGATGAGAAAATTAACTAACCAATCAACCCACAAACGCCTCAAAATTTGTTTTATTCTAACTTCTAAACAAAGTATATACCTCTGGCATTATTACCTAGAATCAGATGTTCTTTTTCGGGGGTCTAATTTACCCAATTCATGTTGAAAACAGAACCGCATGTAGTTCCAAGGACTTTATTTATTTAAAAGAATTGTTTAAAAAATGTTAATATTTCCTGAAGAAAGAGCAATTGTCTTTTGACCATCACAAAAAAATCCATGTATATAGACACTGCCTTTTGTTTGAAATAAATCTATGACAAAGCAAAAAAAAGCCACACCTTACAAACTAAGAGCAATGGCATCTTAAGCTTGCTTGATGTAATTAGTATTTTTTTCTTCTCGTTCTACTGTCATCAAGTTGAATTCACTTTCCTAAGCAAATGTATGAAAACATACCTTAAAAGTTTATCGCAACGAGCAATAGTGACTGGCGTGTTAAAAAGCCGCAGTCACATCGTTCCACGTCATAACATGTTTGTGCAGCCAGACTATAACCGACTCTTTGCAAGAATCTTTGACAACCGCTTCCGTCTCAAGCTGAATTCTGTACGGCACATGTACAATCATGAACGTTCCACTGCTTTTATACTGCAAATTCTTTTTAGACTAGAAGAAATCGCTCTTGATCAGGCATTGGTCAATCTCATCAACGAGTTCGGTGGAGCACAAATCCTTTCCCGGCAGCGTAGCTCGTCAAATGCCGCTGAGCTGCCAAAACATTTACGGGATCAAATTAACCATGGTCCACTTGAAAGTGTTGGTGGTAAAGAATTATGTAATAAGGAAAGAGGATTTTTTTTCATTCTCTTTCTTTCTTTAAGAGGATGATGTTTCATTCTTTTGCCAAAACTGTTTTCGTAAAATAAAACGGACTGCTTTTGACCATCGCTAACATTTACTGAACATGGGATTTTTTCTTGATTTTTTCTATCTGAATAAACACAAATAAAACTAAAAATATGTTAATGCAACACATTACAGCCTTTGTCTAAAAGACCTGCTAGTGTTTAAAGAGACATAATGATTTGCTGCAAATTGAGTTAAACTTCTACAGAATCTGATACATTTCTACTGCTGCGGGAATAAAATTAGACATATTTTACGAAACAACACCGTTTCAATACAGAAACATGCAGTTAGACAGCCTTAGCTGGTGTACTATCCTCCGTATACTTTGTTTCCGCGCCGACTGACCGACATCAGAAGCCGGCGAAAACTACGTAGGATGGCTCACAAGCAAAGACAGACCAAAGAGGCACCTGGAAAGCCCACTGGTCCAATTTATAAGCAATTAAGAATACGTCCGGCACTGTCGTCAGAAAGCGTAAATCAAAGGCCTGAGATAGGACCACGCAGTGTGATCTCCAAAGGGCAGAGTATTATGTAAAGGCCCCCTCCCACTATCAAGGGAGCCTCATCAAAATGGCGGCTATTTCAAAAGAACAAAGGTGAATCTCCTAAGGTCTTTGAAGCTTCTTATGTCCTGTTGACGTGCTGCGAAGACACGATAAGGCATCAGATATGTGTGATCGCCAAAGGCCGAAGTATTGTATAAAGCCCTCCTCCCCACACTACCAACAATCCCTCATCAAAATGGCGGCGATTGCAAAAGAACAAGGTGAATTGCCTAAAGGTCTTTGAGGCTTCTTATGTTCGGTTGTCGTTCTGCGAAGACACGATAAGAAATCTTGACAACCACCTGTAGTGTTGCAGTCATGCATATGACTCTCTGTAACGAATCTATGATGTAGAGCTGAATTAAGAGGAAAGACTTAAAGGAAACGTCAAAGTGCTTTTAAGGCCATCGAACTAGATTTTCAAAGTCAATGCTCGGTTGTTTCTTTGAAATGCAGTAAGATAAACTCTATTTGTGAGGCAACGATTCGATTTTGCTGACAAAAAAACGGCTACGCACTTCCAATGACATTATTACTTCGTATCGCAGGCTGGTTTGAGCAAGGACATTATAAATTCTGGATCAAGGACATTGTACAGTCTGTATTATACATTCTGTATAATGTCATTGGTTTGAGTTATGGTGATACCAAAATATAAAGGGAGTCACGTAGCTCGTTCATAGTGTTGGCTACTTGAAAGGCTTCAAGCATGAAATGATAACAAAAATGCGCCAAGAAATGGCAGTAAATGTCAATTCCGGACGGACTATATACTTCATACAGAATATGGTTTTGATTTGCCACCCTGAAATTGCATTGGAAGCACATGCCTTTGAGGAAATCTTTAAAAAGCACCAAGTACACCAACACATAGGCTGGTTCTGGTTGACTGTAAAATTTCATAGTTCTCCTAAATAAAAGGATCGGTAGGTTCTAAAAAGAGGGGGCATATGGGGACGTATGCTAACGCACTCATACCTTCAGCTTTGCACAGGCACTGAACTATTTTTGATACACTATAGCATGGTAAGGATTAAAAGAGCATAATGCTTACGTTAATACTTCACCGATAAAGGTAATAATTGGGTGCTTTGGGACAGAAAATGTATAAAACAAGTTTAACAAATTTCTTCAAGTTCGTATTGATCTTAATCTATGGGTAGATGTTCTTTTTTGGGGCCCGATCTGTCAGTATACTAGGCTCAAAAGAAAAGAAAAAAGAAAAGAATTTTAAGATGAAAACTATTTCGAAGTTTTAATCTATCTCATACAACTTTTACAGGCTATATTATAGTGATATGCTGCAAAATTAGGTGTTTTGTAATTTTTTTGGAAATTTTGTAAATTTTCGACAGGATGTCTTTAAACACAAATACATGTATATATCTAGGGCGCAAATCTTTTACGTAATACAAACAGACAGCCGCTCTTCCACCAAATTGTTTCTAAATGATCTCCTCCTGGTTTGATGAAGCATCCTTTTGATTCAACCGAAGTCACTTCTTTCATGTCGATCTCTTTGAAGTCGATCAAATTATGTCAATGATATCACATCCTCTGTTCCCATTACCAATTTCTTTGAAACCATCTTTAATGCTTACGACATTAGTTATGTAAGATAGGACCACGCAGTGTGATCGCCTAAGGGTGTTGTGTGAAAGCCCCCCTCCCACTACCAACCGCACCTCGTCAAAATGGCGGAGATTACAAAAGAACGAAGGTGAATCCCCTAAGCTCTTTGACGCTTCCTGTGTTCGGTTGACGTGCTGCGAAGACACGATAAGAAATTTTGACAACTACCTGTAGTGTTGCAGTCATGCATATGAGTTTCCGTAACGATTAGATGATGTAGAGGTGAGTTAAGGTGAAAGATTCAAAGGAAAAACCTCACGGGCATTCAAAGTGCTTTTGAGTCCATCAAACTGGATTTTCAAAGTCAATTTCGAATGTTTCTTTCGAGTGCAGTAGGATACTAAACCTTGTCCTGTAGCATATTTGTGAGGCAACAATGGAAAACGGCTACTTACTTCGTATCGCAGGCTGGTTTGAGTTATCTATTGGTGATACCAAAGTCTATAAAGGGACTCACGTAGCTCGTTCATAGTGTTGGCTATTTGAAAGGCTTCAAGCATGAAATAATGACGAAGATGCACCATGAAATGGTTGTAAATGTCAATTCTAGACAGATTATCTCATCCAATGTCGTTTCGCTTTGCCACTCTGAAATTGCATTTGATGCATATGCCTTAAGTTTGAAGAAATCTTTAAAAAGATGCAAACACCTAGGATGGTTCTTGTTGGCTGTAACAGTTCATAGTTGGATAAACGGATTGGTAGGATATAAAGAGAAGGGACATCTGGAGGTGCATGCTAACGCACTCATACCTTCAGCTTTGCACAGGCCCTCAACTACATCTGATTCACTTTGGCATGGCGAGGATTAAAAGAACGTAATTGTTAGGCTGGTTCACATCGATTCTTCACTGATAAAGGTAATAATTGGGTGCTTTGGGACGGAAAGCACGTTTAACAAATCTCTTTTAGTACCTATTTATCTTAATCTATAGATTAATGTTAATTTTTAGAGGTCCGTTCCGTCAATTAATATTGTACGCGGTAAAGTTAACTGCGGATTAATAAAAAAAGTTTGAATTGCAAGCCATGAATAACGATTTGAGCAGAACATCATCTTCACACAGCCGATCTTGCTTTTCTTTTTTTCGCCCTAGCATTAAATTTGTAATCTACAGCGGAAGCCACCCTTACATTTAACGTGCTGTGGCTCTATTTTGGCCTCAAAAGAAAAGAATAAATAAAGAATTTCAAAATTAAAACTATGTCTTGTAATCTATTCCATCGAAATTCTACTGGCAGTAATTTAATGAGAGGTGACGAGATTTTGTAAATTTTGTAGATTTTTATCAGAATGTTTTCCTACACAGTAAATTTAATATATGTATCTAGGTCAGATGCGTCTGGGCATTACGAAGCACCCACTAGATTTCTTTCATGTTGATTTCTTTGAAGTCGACCAAAACATCTCAAAGACGTCACGTTCTCTTTGCCAATTACTATTTTCTTTGAAACCATCTTTATGCTTACGGCATTTATTAGGTTGAATATTTTATCAAAAATGCCTTGAAGTGGTCATATATTTTTGCATTGAGCAACACCGTTAAAACAAACAACAAAAGAAAGTCAGAACATAGAAGTTTCCAACGGATGGATAAAGCAATGACGTGCACCCAAAATTATGAACATTTACTGTATATATCTCTCTATATATATATTTATCGTACATCGTGTACATAGATGTACATAGTTTACCATGTCGAAGTAAATGCCTTAGAAAGAGGTTCATTTAACTTCATACCTGTCATCATGTATACATAACGTAAGAAAAAAAAACTATTTATGAATATTTTCTGAATACGACGTTACTCCTTGATACAGTGATCCATTTGTATATAATGTATGGATGAAGTATGTATCATATCTGTGTGAGGGCAGGCCCCGTTGAGTAACGTCGTCATAGTTAATGCGAGATAATGTGCTTCAGCTCAAGCAGTGAAAAATACGCCTTGGCGTAAGGTGTAATTTAGATGGCTGGTAGGAGGTTTGAAAACCCTACACCTGGTGGAGGTATCAATCATATACGCTACGTGCTTCTTCTTGACATCTTTAAACTATCAATCAAAACTCTTACTTAGGCAAAACTTTTTCAGCCATTTCCTATTCTGCCTACTTGCCAAAGGGATTATAAAACCCCTGTCACACATTCAGAACCTTCCCCCGAGCACCAACCATCGAACCAAGGTTGGAAAAGCCTCACACCTTATGGAGGTATCAATCATATACACTACCTGCTTCTTCTTACCATCTTTAAACTATCCATCAACCTCTTACTTAGGCATAACATGTTCAACCATCTGCCTGCCTGCCAAAGGGATTTCAACCCTTGTCACAAATTCAACTTTCAGAACTTCCCCCGACCACCAACCAACCAAGGTTGGCTGAAGTTCGGTAGCAGTTTGTAATAGTAATTTACATTAACAACATACCATTTTTTCAACCATTTCCTATTCTGCCTACCTGCCAAAGGGATTATAAGACCCCTGTCACACATTCAGAACCTTCCCCCGACCACCAACCAACGAACCAAGGTTGGAAAGCCTCACACTCTGTGGAGGTATCAATCATAAACACTACATGCTTCTTCTCACCATCTTAAATCCATCAACCTCTTACTTAGGCATAACATTTTCAACCATGTGCCTGCCTACCAAAGGAATTAAGCCCCTGTCACACATCCAACTTTCAGAACTTCCCCCGACCATCAACCAAGGTTTGCTGAAGTTCGGGAGCAGTATGACCAGGTTAAGAATACTTCTGCCCGTCGAAATCGAATCAATTTGGAGTTAAATTTGAGTCAAAATTGACACATTCGGCTGACCTCACTGAACACCAGCCAAACACAACCGACCATGCTACAACAATGGTTGGGGAGAGGAGGGGACATCTAATCTCCAAGCAATATCCAAGGCAGTATCCATTGGCCTTCATACTGTCTTGCCTGCGTGGAATCTTTTTGGAGATTAGGGATTTCGGCAGTATTCGGGAGGCTAGATTTGCTATTATAATAGTCTATGTGTGACATTGATTGGCCGACTATGGTGTCATCTGCCCGAAGAAATCTGCTTGGAGTTTGGGCATATGTGTGTGGCAAAACGCTTATTTTTCAAACAGAGCTAGAAATGGCTGTAATTTGCATAACGACATATGGGAAGCGTTGGTTGAATAGTGACGTAACAATAATGTCATTTTAGAAATAATTTAGATATTTAGATAATTGTCTTACGTCAGTTCCTACTGTGTTTACTTGTCAATACATGTTGTTAATTATCATCATAATTATTGTTTACAACGTCGGATTCACTTTGATCTTCTGTGTATTTTCACATTACTGCTATATATATCCTGGAGTAATTATTGTTGTTGTCCCGTATGAAAATTAATTGCCTGTGCTTTTGTTTTGAAGACATTTATGCAGCGGTATATTAAAGCTGTTCTTTGTAATCAATTAATCTACATAGAAAAATAAATATATATAGTTATGTTCTGCAACAATCGTTGCTTATGTGGTCTTGAATTGACATAACTAATAGTGATTCATATATTATTCGTAATACTTGTGAGTGTTTCGCGTGCTTTTCTTGAAAATGTATTAGTTTTGTATATGGTGACAGAAACTAGGGACCATGAAGACTCTTGAAGCGTTTGTAAAATAATAAATTGTACTTGAGCTGTATACATAGCTATATAGCTTAATCATACATGTACGTACGCATACGCTGTTTAAGTGCGCCTTTAGTCGTTAGATTTAATTAATATATACTTATTTCTAACCTTGGATTTGTGGAGGTATTTATCATAGACCGAATGAAATTGTTTAATAGAGCGCAATCTAGATCTGTTAAGACAAGGGAGGCAGGTCCCTTCTTTGAGTGAAGAACTCCCGCTTATAATGATGGTGATAATAATAATAATAATAAAGATTTTCATTGATAATTGTTTTAACAATTATCTGTGAAAATCTATTGATTTATAGATTTGATGTGTAAAGAATGAACTGTACTGTAAATCGACATAGTGATGCACAGTTTCAATAAACGTTTTGTTTAAGGGTGACAAACGTGTATTTTTGTGTGGTACATCCATGCTGTGAATTGTGAGTCAAAGGGTAAGGCGGCTTGTCCTTAAATAACATGCCAGGATGTGAGTTGACTTCGTCCCCCTTTGAAGCCATCCGTTACAATGCTTCAATAGGCCATACGCGTGAATTGATCGCACGACATGAACTGTATGCTTTTCAATTCATTCGTCCTTGTTACAGTGTCAGCAACCTGTTGTAAAGCAATTATGAGAGCATCACACGAGCACTTTGTAAGCGGTAAAACGTTAGCCAGACGGAGGTAACTTCCACCCCGCCATATGCTACATATGCATTATACAGTCGGCATGTTCAGCAGGGGATTATCAAGCAGTGGTAGCAGATGGTAGAAGGTAAAATAGTATATCGGGCAAAGCCATTATGAAGGTACTCATCCGAAGACGGTTATTGGTCTTTTCAAGTATTTAACCTTCTTGGTCTTTTTGTTGCCGTTATACAAAATGAAATGGCAAAGTAAGAACGTACGTATCTGAAGCTTCGGTATAGCATTAGAAGTACTGTAAGTCTAGAGGGAGATTCACAGAAGAGGCCTGTAGCTAGAAAATGAGAAACGTAGCCCACACTGTAATACTTTGGCCATAAAATCATACTTTGATGTCTCCTGATCATTTAAGGTATGGTGCTGTACTGTCACTAGGATATAATTGAAAATAGTGGTCCTATGATCCTTTATGCAAATTCATGCAAATTAGGCAAATATACCTCACAGCCAATCACAGACCGTGCTATGATGCTGGCCTCACCCACAGTTATGAGGTCATTTATTTGCCCAAGTCGCAGTTACGGCAAGAGTCGAGTCAAGCATCCCCGGACTCAAGTCACACCGACCTCACAAAGGTAATGTCATTAAATCCTTATCAATATCTTCATAAGTAATTCATATCATTTAAATCATGTGAATTATGTAATTGTGTTATGGAGTTCCATATAAGGTTTGTAAGTTGAAAAAATGTAACCTTGAATCAAATCATAAGTGAAACTTCCAGTCTTGATTTAGCCGCCATATTGTGTCACTGTGACGGGCTGAAGTTTTAGATATAAAATGAACAGAAAGAACTGGGACGGGGGACGTTACGTACTTTTAAAACTTTTCAAGCATTTCTATACATCTACCACTCTCTATATCTGTGTCTGAAAATACTCAACAAGAACCCCTTTAGTGTTAACAAGTAACATCTGGGATGTTAATATCTCCGGGCTTTTTATTGTATATTTTCATATATTGTTTGTTATGTATAGTTGATGGTGTTAAATTTAAGTGTTAGATTTAGCTTTATATGTGTGGTTAACACAGGTTAATATTTTCATCTGCAGCTTTTAACATGTACCCACGAAATTCTATTTAATCTGTCGCAAGGAACTCGTAGTGAAACAGGAACGTTTAAATCAGACGTTAAATTAATGGATAATCAGTTTCTTCCCTGTTTACCACTAAGTAAAGGTCTGGTATAGCGTATATCAAAGCTATCAGCGTTAAACGTCGTTTACGGAACGATTATATGGCTCGACAAAAAAACAGTGAATGTCGTATGAACAAATAAAGTTGTTCTGCTTTTCTTGAACTTCTCTCTTTCAACATTTTGTGTGTTCCTTTTTTTATACTTCCCATTTGGTTCTTTTCTTAGAGACTTGGTTAAATGTAATTATATCAATTAATTGCATATTAATTCATAGTCTCAAAGCCTTTGACGCACCAATGATCCTACAAGTTGTATCCAGGCACAGTCAGACGCTACCATGGCGGACGCCGGAGCCTCTTACCCTCCCCCAGCTTACACTGACAAGGGTGGTGAGCAGCAGCCGCAACAGGCAGAGGTATGGCTTCCAATCGCAACAGTACGGACAGTACCCCCCTCAACAGGGACACAACCCCCCTCAACAGAGGCAGTACCCTCTCAGGTGAAGTACACCCCACAAGGGCAGTCCCCAGGGAAAGGGGGATACGTGCAGATGGAAACTACTACCGTGGCCATGACAGAGGTAAGAACGAATCCACATTATGATGAAAAGACAAATTTCGTGAACAAGGCTGACAGTCAGCAGGAATTTTAGTAAGTCCCAATTCACTTATAAGTATTGGAACATAATGTATTATAACAACCCAGACTTTCATGCTAAGATGAAACATTTTTTGATTTTGTAGCAAGCGACCATGAGGGAGGTGCAGAGCCGGACCCGGGTTGATGACTACATGTGCCTGTCGATCTTCACCCTCCTGTGCTGCTGCCTGCCGCTCGGCATCGCGGCCTTCGCCAAGTCCTGCGATGTAAGGCCACAGTGCACAGTATCTATGAAACCCGTAGTCAAAAGAAGTCCGGGCACAACAGTAGTGCGGCACAGATTCTTTCGTGCAGGAAAGCTTTGCTGAATTGTAGAGGAACGCATTGGGTTTAAAACCGTATAATTTGAGTTAATTATCGGCTGGGGTCGATTCACACCTGGATCCTGTTACGACCTAGTACTGTGCGTCGTCTGCACCCCCCCCCCCGGCAAAGCGTCATTGAAAAGTGTTTTTATGGGAAAACGCGCCGGCAAACTTGGGCTGATTTTCACATATTTTGAAGGTAGTTCCCTAACCCTAAACATACACGTGTATTACCTGCTACCGTAAGGAAATTTTATGGGCAGGGGGGCAGGTCATCTCATACCGCTGCCACCAGTGTAATGCATGCAGCATGGTCTTTGTCTGGTCCTTCTGAGACGTTAAAGTGCGTACGCGTGTATCTTTTAACACACATTTAATCACTCGTAAAGGTACACGCCAGCGAAGAACATTTTTAATGTCAAATAACAGATTTTAGCGCACATTTAGTGATAAACATACAGATTTAATGATAAACAGATTTCCACAGTAGGGATAACATGTATACGGTCATGGTAATAGCGCGGAGAAACTAGTGGAATATAGGTTATAACAGTATGCAATCCGTATGTAAATTAGTGTATTTTTTTTTACCTTATTTGTTTGTTGTTGAACTAACTGTTTATCTGCTGGTATTTCAGACGCAGGACGCTAACAATGCAGGGGACATCAACAGGGCCCAGGCCGCGTCCAACAGCGCCAAACGGCTCAACTACTGTGCGCTGGGCCTGGGCATCGTCTTCTGGGTCATCGGAGTCGTTTGGGAAGTTCAGGCCTTCTCAGTCTAAAAATCGTCTGGTAGCTAGGAATTACTGGTTCACTGTACACTGTAGGTAGGCGTGACTGGTTCACTGTCCACTGTAGCGAGGTATTACTGGTTAACTGTAAACTGAGGCTATGTGTTAATGGTTCACTTTGCACTGAAGCTAGGTGTTACTGGTTCACTGTACACTGTACACTGACGCTAGGACAGGCTGCTTATTAGGCTAGGTGTTACTGTTGGCTTCGTCTTAGATGCATGCTGTTCACGAGCGGATTGAGCCGTTAGATCTGATTGTTCATTTATTTCTAACTTTACATTTGTGGACGTATTCACCATAGACCGAAATAAATTGTCAATAGAGCGCACTCTATTAAGACAGGCCTCTTCTTTAAGTAAAGAATACGTGGATGATGATGGTAACCACTTCGTGGTGTAGTGAAGCCATAATCAGAAACGTAGCCCATACTGTACATGCTTTGGCTCAGCCATAAAATCATACCTTGATGTCTCCTGATCACTTTAAGGTATGATGTGGTCAGGTCGACCAGATGGGACAGAGCGGCTCCATGACCATTGTATACAAATTTACGCAAATTAGGCAAATATACCTTAGATATGTGACGAAACATGAAAACAGATAAAATGACAAAGTCGAGTCTAGCATCACTTACCCGGACCCAAGTCACATCGACCTGCCAAGGTAATGTCATCTAATTTCATATCAATATCTTCATTATAAGTATTTCATATCATTTATATCATTTGAATTATGTCAGTGGAGTCCAAAAACGATTGTGAGTTAGAAAAGAAATTACCTTGAATCAAATCATAAGTGATTTAGCCACCATATTGTGTTACTGTGACGGGTAAAAGTTTTAGATATAAAATGAACATAAAGAACTGGGACGGGGACGTTACGTACTTTTAAAACTTTTAAAGCATTTCTATACATCTACCACTCTCTGTATCTTTGTCTGAAAATGGTCAACAGGTAACCTTTTTTTTAGTGTAAACAAGTAAAATATGAGATTTTAATACCTCCGGGCTTTTTATTGTATATTTTCATATCTCGTTTGTTATGTATAGTTGATGGTGTTAAATTTTAAGTGTTAGATTTAGGTGCGGTTAACACAGGTTAGCATTTTCATCTGCAGCTTGTAACATGTACCCACGAACTTATGAAATTCTATTTAATCTGCCGCAAGGAACTCGTAGTGAAACCGGAACCGTTAAATCAGACGTTAAAATAATGGATATTATCAGTTTCCCTGTAAAGGTGTGGTATAGCGTATATCAAAGCTATCAGCGTTAAACGTCGTTTACGGAACGATCATATGGCTCGACAAAAAACAGTGAATTTCGTATGAACAAATAAAGTTGTTCTGCTTTTCTTGCACTTCTCCCATACGTATAACCTTTCTGCCTCCCAGGACGGTATTTAACATTTGTGTGTTCCTTTTTACTTCCCATTTGGTTCTTTTCTTAGAGACTTGGTTAAATAAATTATTTCAATTAATTACATATTAATTGATAGTCTCAAAGCCTTTGACGTACCAATGATCCTACAAGTTGTATCCAAGCACAGTCAAACGCTACCATGGCGGACGCCGGAGCTTTTTACCCTCCCCCAGCTTACACGGACAAGAGTGGTGAGCAGCAGCCGCAACAGGCAGAGGTATGGCTTCCAACCGCAGCAGTAAGGACAGTACCCCCCTCAACAGGGACAGTACCCCCCTCAACAGAGGCAGTACCCCCCTCAACAGGGGCAGTACCCTCTCAGGTGAAGTACACCCCACAAGGGCAGTCCCCAGGGAAAGGGGGATACGTGCAGATGGAAACTACTACCGTGGCCATGACAGAGGTAAGAACGAATCGAACAATTTTTTTGTTACCATGAGGACAGACGTCTGGTCCATGTCATTGACTTTTTGAACGGAAGAAGAGGAAGAGACCGAGCAAGAACAATATCTTTTCCTTCGGTGAACATAAAACACATTATCATCAAAAGGCAAATTTCGTGAACAAGGCTAACAGCAGAAATTTTAGTAAGTCCCAATTCACTTATAAGTGTTGGAACATAATGTATTATAACATATTATAACATATGGACTTTAATGCTAAGATGAAACATTTTTGATTTTGTAGCAGCCGACAACGATGGTGGTGCACACCCGGGCTAATGACTACATGTGCCTGTCGCTCTTCACCCTCCTGTGCTTCTTCCCGCCGCTCGGCATCGCTGCCTGCGTCAGGTCCTGCCAGGTAAGGTCACGGTGCACAGTATCTATGGGCGAACCCTGTAGTCAAAAGTAGTCCGGGCACAACAGTAGTGCGGCACAGATTCTTTCGTGCATGCAGGATAGCGAGGTGAAAACTATGTTGAATTGTAGAGGAATGCATTGGGTTCAAGACCGTATAATTTGAATTATCTTCTGGGGTCAATTCGCACCTGGATCCTATTACGACCTAGCTAGTGTATTTCGTACCTTGTTTGTTTGTTTGTTTGTTGTGGAACTAATTGTTTATCTGATTGTATTTCAGACGCAGGACGCTAACAATGCTGGAGACATCAACAGGGCCCAGGCCGCGTCCTACAGCGCCAAACACCTGAACTACTGGGCGCTGCGCGTGGGCATCGTCTTATGGGTCTATGCAGTCCTTTGGACCATTCTGTCCTTCTCAGTCAAAAAATCGGCTGGTATACCGTAGCTAGGTATCACTGGTTCACTGTACACTGTACGTAGGCGTGACTGGTTCACTGTGCACTGTAGCGAGGTATTACTGGTTCAATGTAAACTGAGGCTATATGTGTTACTGGTTCACTTTGCACTGAAGCTAGTTGTTACTGGTTCACTGTACACTGAAGCTAGGTGTTACTGGTTCACCTTACACTGTACACTGAAGCTAGGGCAGACTAGGCCAGGTCTTACTGTTGGCTTCATCTTAGATGCACGGTGTTCACGTGCGGATTGGGCCGTTAGATTTAATTGTTCATTTATTTCTAACTTTTAGATTTGTGGAAGTATTCATCATAGACCGAAATAAATTGTCAATAGAGCGTTACGTTATCTATTAAGACAGGCCCCTTCTTTAAGTGAAGAACGCCCGTGGATGATGATGGTAAGAATAAAATTGGTGATTTTCACAGATGGACTCAGTGGTACATCTATGTTGTGTGACATAGGTCTAAAGTAAAAGCGACTTGTTTTAGAGAACGTTAAATGCCAGAATCGGTCTTTATATAATCTCTTTATATTCCTTCTTCCCGCCCTTCTCGCCCTTCCTCCATCTTCCCCCTTTCTTATGTTTCCTTTTCATATGGCTTCCTTCCTCCCATATTTCCCAGAACAACGCCCAGTAGACTATGAACTGACAAACATATGCATGACCGCTAGTGACCCCAGCAGCCAACATCAAGAGTCACGAAAACAAGTGTGTCCTACACCAGATGAGACAAGCAACCTGATTGGTCAGACAACACTGAGCTCTTCAAACGCTTAAATCACGAGAAAAAGACAAGGGCAACATGATTTTAAGAGGAAAAAGTAAAGTCTAATCTCAAATTAGACTCGAGCCTGCTGTCTTAATTTTCACAATTTCTGTTGATGTCAGTGTGTTTCCAGCTTTTAAACAAAAACTGGTAAGATGTCATGTTTTGGAATCTCTACCTCCTTAATTGCACTTATTTCCAATGGAGTATTGTTGATTCAAATTACTTTGTAAAGATATGACCAAAAAAATTCACTTTTTGTATCGTCCTAATGCTGCATAATGAAGAAGCTCACAGCCAATCACAGACCGTGTTGTTGTCGCTGGCCGCACCCTAAGCACTGACGTCATTTATTTGCCCTTCCCGCGGTTACGGACTGAGAGTCGAGTCAAGCATCACGAGACTTACCCGGTCACACCGACCTTACAACTTACAAGGTACATCTGATTTCATACTAATATCTACTTTAAGTATTCCATATTACTTAAATCATTTGAACCATGCATATTGAGTTGTATATACGGATCGTGAATTGGCAAAATCTAACCTTAAATCAAATCATAGGTGGAACATCCAGTTAATTTAGCCGCCATATTGTGACACTGTGACGGACAAACGATTTAGACATAAAATGGACATAAAGAACGAGGGGGGGTATGCTTCGAACTTTCAAAACTTTTTAAAAACACTTTTGTACAGCTACTACTCTCTGTACTTGTGTCTAAAATGGTCAATATGAACCTTTTTATCGTTAAAAACAGAAAAAATACGCAGCAGATTTGCCCTTGATAAGAGGGTAATCGTAAAACACCAACTGTTCATGTATTTATGTTTATGTCCTACCTATATATACACACCACCAAATGTAAGCTAACAGACCTCTTGTCTTGAGACACTTTTGAAAACAATTAGTTAAAAGATTTACTGCATTTTTTTTAACAGTTTACTTGATTTGTTTGCTATAAAATGTGCCCGCAGTCGGGCTAAAGCAGCACGTAGCTCAGGTCATTTTGAGGTCATACTGCGAACAAACAGCAGTGTTCACCAATTATTAACCACAGAGTAAAGGTGTGACGTGCTTATATAGCAAAGTAAGGTCGCTCCAGAGAGCACTAAGCACACAATTTGACAACAGTATAGTTAAAACATTGAACGGGATACAAACCCATTCTTTTGTGTGTTTCTTGGTGTATGTAAGATACAATGTACTACGTACAATGTCGTGCTGCATACGTAGGTACAAAAACGCCCCAGGTCATTATATTGCACGTATGGGCGCGTCTGTCAAGTTCTCCTATTTACCACAGTAAATATAATATGTACATATATAATACCAGCTCAGAAAAGAAGAAGAAATAGTCATGCCTTCAAGTACCAGAGTTATCAACCAAGGATTGAGGTGTTCAAAAACTCATTCTTTCCTAGAACTATCGCAGAGTGGAACTCGCTGTCACCAAGTACATTAGGGACATTATCACAACATCGGTGGCATGTCAGGACTCGAACTCGGGATCTCTTGGTTCAAACTCGAATACTCTGCCGTTGCGCAACGCGATCTCGCGATAAATTTGTGAATCCTACAATTTGTATCCATGCACAGTCAGACGCTACCATGGCGGACGCCGGAGCCTCTTACCCTCCCCCAGCTTACACTGACAAGGGTGGTGAGCAGCAGCCGCAACAGCCGCAACAGCAGGGGTATGGCTTCCAGCCGCAGCAGTACGGACAGTACCCCCCTCAACAGGGACAGTACCCCCCACAACAGGGCCAGTACCTAGCGCAAGCGGGGTACCCGGCGCAAGGGGGGTACGTGCACATGGGGACTACCGTGGCCGTGACAGGGGTAAGAACGAATCCAACTGTTTGATGATGTTGTTAACTAACAGTGATGCTAACTTATCTTTAACAGGCCTAGCTATATGACCTCCTTACAGAAGACTTAAAACAATAAAGGTAACATTTGCGAAGCAAATAAATACATACTGTTTAAATTAACCTGGTAACAAACTCGGTTTTGCTACATAATGTAACCCAACACCACAGTTTGTCTGCTACAGCACCAGTTACCATGGTGACAGACGTCTGGTCCAGGTCATTGACTTTCTTTGTTTGGAACGGAAGAAAAAGAAGAAACCCAGCAATAGTAATATGTTTTCCTTCGGCAAAGGGAAGCATAAAACACATGCATTCGTGACGAAAGGTTCAAAATTCCGTGAACAAGGCTGATGGAGTTAGTTGAAAATTCATGACCGTTCATGCTAAGAAAATTCATGAACTTTCATGCCAATGAACTTTCATGCTAAGAAAAACATTTTTTTGATTCTGTAGCAGCCGACCATGATGATGGTGCAGAGCCGGGCTAATGACTACATGGGGCTGTCCATCTTCACTCTCTTGTGCTGCTGCCTGCCGCTCGGCATCGCGGCCATCGTCAGCTCCTGCGAGGTAAGGAAACGTCATGGGGGAGGGGGGCAAGTCATCCCACACCGCTGCCACCAGTGTAATGTAGTAGGGTTTTCGTCTGCTCCTTCTGAGATTTTACATTTCGTGCGCGTCAATCCTACCATGAAATTCTACAAGTATCTTTGAGCACACATTTGATCATTCGTAAAGGTACACGCCAGCGAAGACATGGAACGTTTGAGCATCTTTAAGGTGTGCATAAATGCAGATTTAGTGATGAACATAGATATAGATTTATATAATTTATATATGTTTATCTGTTTACAAACAATAGTGATAACATGTATACGATCTTACCTTATTTGTTTGTTTGTTTAATTGAGTGTTAATATGTTTTCGTATCAGAGGCAGGACGCTAACAATGCTGGGGCATCAACAGAGCCCAGACAGCGTCCGTCCGTTTTGTTTGTTCGTTCTTTAGATTGAGTGTTTATCTATTTGTTTATCAGACGCAGGACGCAAACAATGCTGGAGACATCAACAGGGCCCAGTCCGCGTCAAACCGCGCCAAACTGCTCAACTACTGGGCGCTGGGCCTTGGCATCTTCTTCTGGGTCATCGGGGTCATCCTCATCATCCTGTACTTCGTCTTGTTCGCCTCCATATGGTGGGGCTGAAGGTCAAACATGACCGGTTGTCGCCTTCGTAATTTGGTATCCAGTCTATCGTGGTTGGGACAGGCTGTCTTCGGGGCTCTAATAGCTTTCCCGGTAGGAGTGTTACGCCTGTAGGAGCTTTGCTAGTAGAGATTGGCACGCCGGGAGTTGATTTGCCCCACCATAGATAGACAGGATAGTCAAGGTGAAGGTCACATATGACAAATATCAAAGTTCTGTATTCACAACCATTTGTTCACATTCAAGAGCCGACGTTTCAACGATGACATGTCTGGGTCATTGCCTTAAAGAAGATTAAGGCAATAATCACTGGTTTCACTGTGCACTGAATCTAGGTTTTTCTGGTTCACTGTGCACTGAAGCTTGGCGTTACTGATTCGCTGTGTTCTGGCACTAGATGTTACTGGTTCACTGTCCTTTGAAGCTAGGTGCTACTGATTCACTGTCCTTTGAAGCTAGGTGTTACTGGTTCACTGTGAACTGAGGCAAGGTGTAACTGGTATACTGTGAACTGAGGCTAAGTGTAACTGGTTCACTGTGCACTGAAGCTAGGTATTACAGGTTCACTGTGCACTTAAGCTAGGTATTACAGGTTCACTGTGCACTTAAGCTGGTTCATTGTGAACTGATGCTAGGTGTAACTGGTTCATTGTGAACTGAGGCTAGGTGTAACTGGTTCATTGTGAACTGAGGCTAGGTGTAACTGGTTCATTGTGAACTGAGGCTAGGTGTAACTGAAGCTTGAGTGCACGGTTCACCAGTCAAAAGATGACAGACGGTCATCAAAGAGTTGGCTCTTGTAAACAAATAGTTGCGAATAGACAAGTTTGATACCAAATCATTCACCAACCTGATGATTTTTATCCGAATGATATATGCTCCCAATCTATAGGGCAATGTCTGTTTCAAACACACGTATCGTGTGCTACATGAGTGCCTTATTAGAATGTTTGACTTTGATTAAATTTTTAGATTTACACACGGTTTTCCTAGCATTGCACATTAGTTCACGAATATAGAACATCTCAAGCGATTATCAAAGCATTTTGTCTGTCAAAAGCTGGAAGATGTCCTTGAAAAGGAGAAATATAAAACAAAAATGTTCACAATGTTCTAATTTACACTAAAAAAATCTAATTTCTTTATAACATAGACGTTCCTTTTCCTCTACCAAATGTATGAACCTATCTCTGTGTTGTTTCTAAATTTGCTAACGAAAGGGAATTGGATGTAACTTTTGCTATTTGGATGTAACGCAAGAGAACAATGATATTTTACTGTAGGATAACAGTCTATAATGGCAATCTACAGGTTGTATATATAATCATAATATAATACAGAACAAATAAAAAGACGAATTAGAAAGCTTACGAGTACGGAATATCGTTACCTGGATACCATAAGGAAATCTCTACTGCCACACGAAGTCAAGTGTGTAGGAAGATCAATACATCTTTGTGACGCCTTTGGAGTTATATCCTAAATATCATTAAGAAGGCTATTTTAGACCCGACACGTGCCGTATGTACGCAACAGTCTGATGAAGTTAGGCGGCTTAAATAAAAGATAGGCACCCGCCATCGTGACATCTCAAAAGCTGCTACGCTGATGACAAAAGATTACATTACGAAAGGTTGTGGGGGGAAAGAACCTTCAAGGGGGGGGCGGGGTTGTGTCAGAATTGGAAGTCTTATTTTACACTAGTAGTACTAATCTGGTGCGTTACGCCGAAGGGCGGTTATACAGATACAGATATGTACAAAGCGGTCAATTGCTGGGTAAAATTTATAAATGAAATGTAAAATCAACCCAATTTAGTCTTGTTAAAGACTACAAAGTTTATTGCTTAATAAAGATACCCTACAAGATACCCTAACAGCATTTTAGTATCTACGTAGCAGCTTTAACTAATTAAATCAAATAGAAACTAAAACGGTAACACTTGCAAAGCAAATACATAATGTTTACCTTCACATGGTCTAGCCTAACAAACCATTGTCCATTCTTACTCAAACACATTCATATATAACATACATGTATGGTAACCAGCCCTTCTGAGCTGTCCTACTCCATAATGTAACTCAATACCACAGAGTGTCTCTTACAGCACCAGTTACCATGGTGACAGACGTCCAAGCTCGAATGCTATGGTTATGAAGGATATGAAGACGTTACATCGATTACATTTCGCAAGAAACGGATTGGAAAAGAAAATTAGAATGTATGTCCCTTCTCAGATAAAGTCGAAGTGGTAATGGAAACATACGCCATCCATCAACTATTGGGAACGGTTTTCGCCCAGACCTTTCAGCGCAGCGAGTTCTCAACGGATTTTAGATACGGCAACCAGCAGATCCAAGGTCAGTGACCTGGAAGAATCGCCGAGTCAGCTTTTCTTCCTCACTGATCCACCTCCCAGAGAAACGACGGCGATACCCAACAGTAAGGAAGATAAAGAGCTCAAAGGTCTAAGAATCCAATTTCCCTGTCAATCCCTCTTAAAGTGTAGCATCCGAGTAGCAGCAGACAATTTTGTAAGAGGCTCGAGGCCGCCTTTGACACCCACGAGAGTTAAGGCCGATTAATGGGTCAAAGAATCATTCAAAAGATGGACGGATTATTATAGGTGGCGGCAGGTACAATCGGTATGCATCTTATGGCAATCAAAAGATGCTGTTTTACAGTCTCTGGCAGACTCTCTTGGGATCTGTACAAAGAAGGGGATCGCCATATTCAAGCGCTGCAAAACGCCTTTGGGGATCGTAAACCGGCAACTCTCGACCTACTTAGCCTAAAGATCAAGCTGGCGTTTACACTATGTAGGAGCATGTAAGGCCGTGTAACAGATGTAGCGTGCACGTCGTATAGCTAGTTCAATTTTTACACATAGTAAACATTACATGATGTGATCATTGTAAAAACACCCAGGCCATGATCAACAGTTACAGTTGCCTGAATGATTGGTAAGCTCGAGAATTACAGAGTTGAGGCCCAATAACTAGTTACGACGTACCACTACGTCGCAAAACTCTGCAATATCATCATCTTCCAACAAGTTTTATTTTTAATCTATTTTCTGTTAGTTATTTGTCTTGAAATATTAGAGGCCAACTGTAAAATCCGCGGCCATGTTTTCTTACCACCTTAAAGGTACTCATATACATGCAGCTTTTAGGGCTTGAAAACCAGATTCATTAAATTCAATGTTTCAGTCACTATTACAATAGCATTCTTGGAGCAAATAAACAAAATATGGCGGAAAACGGTATCCTGGGCTGATCTTTGGGGTACAACCCAGAAATAAAGGACTCATCTTGGGGTTAGTTTCTGCGGTTTTTTTAACCACCCAAAGTATGAAATACTGATGCAAATGTGCTAATGAGGGGCACTATGTGTCATTATCATACAGATTTGCTTATATTCAGAATATTTCGAGTTTGCCGCCCTAAAATTGTATTGGTTGTCTTAAACGAGTCGATATCCTATATGCCCTATCATCCTGTCATATCACATATTGTTATTTTAGTCACGTACTATCAACTAATATAATGACAATAGTTTATTGACCCCGGTGGTACATCCTTATTTTGATAGATCTGTGCAACAGTTGGACTGATTGTATTGAAAAGCGGAGACGGTAGGTGAATCAAAATTGTTTGATCTTTCTAATAACACATCTATCTACGTCAGTGCGCGCTTATATCAAATCTTTGCTATAATAGAATCATAAGATGATGTTTTACGTGTAAAGCTTAGGCCCTGGCACACATAGCCAAATATGGATCTCGAATATTGCACACCCCCCCCCACTCCCGCCTATAGTTAGAAGTAAGTTGGGAGCAAGGTCTACATCTGGCTGGCTGGTGTTCGGCTGTGCCTGCCGAATGTTTTAAAACATTTCATCTGGTGTGGATGGGAGGTTCAGCTATGGTTAGGGGGAAGGTCAGCAGTAGTAAACGGAGTCAAATTTGACTCAAAGTTAACTGAAATTCTATTCGATTCGTATAGAAAGACGAGTTTGGCCTAAATCTGACCAGACAGCTCCAGAACATCAGCCAACCTTGGTTATTAGTTGGGGGTCGGGGGCCATTTGTATCCAGTCCCATTATTGCAGAATTTAAAACAAAGACACTATGAATATTTATTGACAAAACAATGACATCCCGGACGTAGAGAGATTGTGGCAAGCTGTTTACCACCATTGGTTAAGATAACATTTATGCTAACATATCACGTAGTAATTTTTTAGCATAAAAGAAAGGTCCACCACATCAGAGACGCATTGGTTTCACAAAACCTGTACAATTTTTCTGGGTCCATGATTCATATATAGAGATAGAGATGGCGACTGAAAATCCACTTTACCCCCCTCCCCCTTACACTGTCGACAATCGAGAACAACACCAAGGCTATGGGTTCCACCCGTATTACACCCAACAACCTCCGTACAACCAACATTACCAACACCCAGCTAACATGCATCCGTACGGACAACCAACCACTGTAGTGGAGATTTTGGTAATTTCTTTTTTTTTCTTTTTTTTTTAAGTTCAACATTTAGGCAATGTACATACATGTAGAGATGTGGTTGGTTAAGATTTAAAAAGAGGGGCTGGGTGCCACATAGCCTAGGTACAATCCCATTTGCTACGGGCCTCGCTCCTTGCAGTCACTGGAAAAAACGAATGGGAGCCAGGCTAGATATCACATATATGGATTGCCCTAAAGCCGATCTTCTAAGGTACAAAATGTATTTATAGCACATTGGATTAATCATTATGTATATTGGGATTAGATCTGAATATACCAAGTTTGTTTTTTTCATCTATAACGTAAGCGTAGTGTAAGAGGTTGCATCGCAATGTGTTTAATTGTTGACAAGGACTCCAGGAAGAGAAGTATACAAAGATTTGTGTACATACAAGATTTTGAATTACTGATGGAGAGTTTAGATAACTAAATCAACAAACAAAAATCCTATTCCCCTCTAAATTAGGTGATGCCAAAGGACTATTTTGGCCTGTCAATATTCACCCTTCTTTGTTGCTGTTTGCCTGTCGGCGTCGCCGCTTTGATATTTTCTTACGAGGTAAGAGTCGTTTCCATGACAACGCATGGATGTGATCCCACCGCTGCCACCAGTGTAGTGATTGTGGCGCATTGCCAACTTTCAATTGTCAAATGAAGCGCTGTTGTTTTGTCTTAGACGAAGATACATGTATGAATGAAATCTGTACACTTCCAGTAATCATTCACTTGTCTATCCTTCTACATACGCACATAGGCATCCAGTGCGATTTCAGAGCAGCAAAACTGGAAATATTCTGAATAAGGCAATCTTTATGATATTGACACATACTGCTTCACATTAGCACATTTCAATCAGTATTTCAACCTTTGGGTTTTTATAACTGCAGAAACAAACTCCAAGATGAGGCCTTTATCTTATGGGTGGTACCCAAAAATCACCCAAGGGCCCTTTCAGTAACCATTTTCCGTCAGAATTTTGGGTATTTTTTCTCCATGAGGGTCAATATACATTGGGATAGTGTGGTTTCAACTCAGTATGTAGATAAATGGCTAGAATAACTTGGCTTTAAAAAATCGTGTTTCCACGCCTTAAAAACTGCACTGGATGCCTTTAACAGCTATTGCCCTCCTTAATAATTTCACAATGAACAGCCTCCGGTTTTATCGCAGTAACGTTACATCTACATGGGCTAATATCGTAAACTATAGGTAAAAATGATGCAGGAAATGCGTGGCAGCCTTCAAGGATCCATTGGGGATTAACGGGGACCCAATTCTGCAGAATTCTGGGAACTGGAGCCAAATTTCTGGGAACAATTATGAAGAATTGGGTTAAGGGGTCCCCGATGGCCGCTACATGTACATATTTATATCTTTCGTGCATGCAATTTTTAGTGAAGCGTTATAGTACACGTGTAGGGTTGTAGTTAGGGGGGGGGGTAAGACCCCAAAAGTAGCGAAGAAAGGTACATTGTATACGCACATGTATAATGACAAAAACTATATCATACTAAGGCTATGCTAGAATTCTTTTTTTCTTTTCTATTTTTTTTTCTTTTTTTTTCATTCAGTATTTTTTTTTATAATTTTTTGTATGAAACTGCACAGTGAGGGTAACACTTTTTTCCAATTTTCTTCTCGTCAGGTACAGAGTGCGAACGCCATCGGAGACGTTACGCGGGCGCTGAAGGCGTCTAACCGCGCTAAGGTCCTGAACTACGTGGCGCTGGGACTGGGCGCTTTCTGCTGGCTGCTGTTATCTAACCGTTAAACCTGACCAAGTTCAAGCTCCTAGAAACTCCTTTATAATCCCAAAATGCATAGTTCTAACAGCACTAATACTAAACTAGAAAAGTAACATTTGATAAGTAAATGCATAACGTTCACCTTCACACGGTCTAGCCTAACAAACTATTGTTCATTCATACTTAAACACATTTATGTATGTGTAAAATATTCATTCATATATACCAGTATTCATCCAGCTGTCCTGTAACATACTAGAGTAATGTAACCCAACTCCACGGGGTGTCTTCTACAGTACCAGTTACCACGGTGACAGACGTCTGGTCCAGGCCATTGACCTTATTTGTTTGGAAATGATGATAAGGGCTTGTTTGTAACGTTACATATCATAGTACAGTCACAGTGACAGACGACATATTGTCTTAGAGTTATTCAAAGCTCACTTAAAATAAAGCCAGGTATTCGCGTGCAACTACATGTACAGTCAGAAGCTGAGGGCGTAAACGTATTCATATATTCATTCTCAAACTGAGAGAATATATAAACAAGACACCCACGAGAAAAACAACGGACTGACATCTAAGCAGGGGAGAGAAACAAAGGATTAAAGGGATTAATGTGGACGTGTGAAGGTTATCAAGTCAGAAAAGTAAATACATAATGAATGAGACAATGTTTTAACCACATTCGCGTTGTTTTGTCTACCAATGGTAGAAATAGTAACTACTAGTGTAGTATTCTATAGGGACCGACTTATAGGTAAAGTTTTACCTGGCAGTCCTACTGAGCATTGACCTTTCTTTCAGACAGTCCATAACCGTGAATGTATTTCCAGTCGGCCTTTCTGGTACCTACCGTCCCGTAGTAACAAACTAATTGAAGCCAATCCCATACAATTAAAAATCATCGGCTTTCGATAACTGGGAAACACCCCCAGCACCACAGAGAACCCAAGGAGCTCCCGGATGTAAATTTGTAGGTAAATTTGTCGGGCTAAGGGAAGGGTAGCCTGGATGCCAGACCCATAACACGCTAGCTAGGCCCAGGGTTATATAGCCAGCGTGCCAGTGAATCAGGGTCTAACTGAGGGGGCTGTGGTATAATTTCATTTGGGGCATGTTGGACCTGGAGCGGAGGAACTGGCCTGTGTAGGCCCTGGAAACAGTCTGGCACCCAGGCTAGCATGTTGGACCTGGAGCAGAGGAACTGGCCTGTGTAGACCCTGGAAACAGTCTGGCACCCAGGCTAGCATGTTGGCTCTTGAGCCAAGGGACTGTCCTGTGTAGGCCCTGGAAACGGCCTGGCCAAGGGTAGGGGGCACCTCTAGTCATAGATTCCAAGAGCGCGTAAAGCATTTTCCTCAAACGAATGATTTGTTGTCACAGTACGACATAGCTTTCTATTAATCTAGATTTAACGCCGATTTAACCAAATTATTTCTCTGACGAATTATTCTGTTTTCAGTTTGTTAATCAAACTATCTCCCCAAGGAAGATGCCAGCGTTTGATAAGAGAATAATTAATCATGAAAATTTTAATAGAGAAGAGGGTAGTGACGTAGGAAACGGTGGCCTTGCTTTTGACGTAGATTGATAGTTGCACCTATGGAGTAATTGAAAGCACTAAAATAACGTACGAAAATTGATTAATACTTCAAGCTTTGATGCGCCCCGGAGTAAAAATCGTGTGTATCAGGATTAATGTCAGTCAACATACATGTTATAGTGAATATTCTCAAGATAAGGATTATTAATATCATGTTCAAACATTTGAGACTTTTTGCAATTAAGAATAATTTTGCTGGGGTGTCGGTTGTAGTGATATTAATCACAAACAAGCAGAAACTGGGGGAATTAATGGTGATACAAATTAATGCAATGTTAATACCTTTAAATCAACCTTACTATACGGCATATGAATGTCAACATCAATAATGAACTAAAATTGTAAGATATTCATCTCTTAATAAATGCCTATATCAACTATGTTGTGTGAATGTGATAATGAAATGTCATTCAATGCAAAAACGTTGACAGTTCTCAAGTTTCATCACATAAGCTTTTCTGTTCCCAGTAGACCTAACTCGCCTAGGGTGTTGAGTGCACCATATAGAGCTAGATGAGCATATATGTTTATTGAACTGCATACTTGGAGATGGGGCTTTATCGGTTATTTGCAGCTGCGCTATTCACGTCGGAAAAGACATGTCTCAGATAGATAAGACAAAAATCCTGACAAGAAATGAAAAAGCTCAACCCTGTCAGCCGGAGGTTTTGGATACCGCCTATCAAGGCCATGAGAAGTCTGCTCCTTGTTATATACTTTTGGCCATGCTAACATAGCAACACCTGCGGCATGCCTGTACAAATTGATACGGAGTCGTAGTGTACTGTACTTTACCCTGTCGTGCCGCTTCTTTCCGCAAGATGTCGCTAGCGCACTGGCTTGTTAAGCCAGTATGGGATTCACAAAGTATTTTTACCTGGATTATGCTGGTGCAATAAAATCCATGAACAGCAATTGCAGTTGAACTATATCCTTTTCGAACCTCCTTTGTTAAACCCAGTGCTGGGATATCATTGACATTGATACATTCTGTAACATATTCTATTCCTATTCCCCACCATAACCAAGGACATTTATAATACTTAGGATCCCTATGTAATGTCCTCGATATACATATACCATATATGGGCCTATACTTACCATTTTGCCTGAAACCAAAGCGCCGTGCAGTCATCAATAAATAATTAGCGCCAATCACTGGGACAAAAATGCACCCCTCCCACATTCAATCACACTATGACACAATGTACTACAAATTCCGGACATAAATGGCCTTATAACCTAACCTCATGTCAATTCTAACCATCCTAACAGAGCAAATGGATGTCTAGCTTAGAAAAAAGCCATACCCACTTCATATTTTACCGGGAATACAATAAAAAAACATAAATCTTTGATGACTTTTTCACAGGACCCTGACTCAGGTTTTGGCGGGAGTCCCGCGCTGACTCATAGCCGGAAATTCCAATCTGATGACGTTTTATGCTGTGATTGGTCAGACTCTGATGACGCACTTTGCCCCACAAGGAGACCCGCCTTAGCAGTGTGTATTTTAGTTTCGCAACGTAACAAGAATCCGAACATATTTTCTCCGTTTTGTGGACAATTTTAGACGGATTTTGACCGGAATCGAGCCCTAGGAACTCCTGAAGCCATCCTTGTAGAGTAGAACCGCAAGAAAAGCTGAAAGGTGGGTATTTTAAGGAGAAATTTCGTGTTAAAGTGCGTAGTAACAGTCTAGGAAAAAATTACATAACGTCGGGTGTGTGTGTGTGTGTAAAATTTTAGCCGGTTATATTTCCTGCTCGCCCTTTCGTCTGTGTTTTGTACGAATTAGCAACATTTTGGGTTGAATTAGACATACAAGAAGACTGACGGAATATGTATCTTAGGGATTGTCGATGTTATGATCGCCAGATTGGCTACGCAATGTTTTTGTTGTGGTAGGAAATTTTGTGTTTGTAAACAAGTGTCGTGGCCTTGCTGAATCATGCGTGGGGAGGGGGGCGATTGTTGTTGTTGATTCATGATTTGTATAAACGTTACCTAGATTTGAAGTAATGAGTAGGATTTTTTTTGTTGTTGTTCAACTTGTTAAGAGAGTGAATTGTGGGCTTCTCTTTTGGTGTGTGTTTCTGTGTGTGTGTGTGTGTGTGTGTGTGTGTGTGTGTGTGTGTGTTTCTCAACGTGTTTTTCTGTATGTATGTGTTTGTATGTGCTTGTGTTGTGTATGTGCATGTGTGTACATGTTTTTCTGTTTGTTTGTTTATGTATGTGTGTGCGTGTGTGCATGTGTGTGTGTGTGTGATGGCATACTAGTATATGCATGTGTGCATCTGTGTGTGTGTGTGCGTGTGTGTGTGCATCGTTTCCACATTGTCCTTGTGTACATGATGGTTTTAACTTAAAGGAGTGAAGTTTGCCATCTCTGACTGCTAAGTGTTAATAAATAATATACATGTATGCTGATCTCCATGCCTTTTGCCACGTTCCTATACTTGTGATGACCAATGTTCTAGGTTACCTTATGTAACATTTACTAGGTTATAATAATCATTAACAAGGTTAAAGTAAACACATTAATGTTACACACATGTTATATAAGGGGTGTAACACTTTACAGTATAAGGGCAAACACTAACAGGATGAATGATATGTTGCCAATATGTTGCTTTTAAGTTATGCAGATAACAACAAAATTTTTCTATTCCAAAAGGCCGCAGGAAAAAAAAGGTGTATAATTACATTTTTTCCCTTAAAAATATGCCTGCACTGGCAGTAGGTTGTTGATTTTGTAGTTCAGGTTTCTCGGCACAATTTTCTAAGCATGATTATGAAGGACTCAGAAGTCAAGTAAAAGGCCAACTTAACATCATTATGAAATAATTGAATATGATATTTTATTAATGGACAACATTTCCCAACCAAGAATGCAAAAAATTAAAGATCCCATGATTGCATATTTTTGTTAACATCCCTAGGATAAAAAAAGCAATTATAATGCCAAAGACAATGGATTGTAATTATGACCAACAAGGAATAATTACAAACAGGTGTTGCTATGTAGGCAGACTGGTCTTGTCCGGATCAATCCGAATTGATTCGCTTTGATCTGGCTGGTCATAAAATATATAGGGTAGAGCACCCGACTAGAATAACCAATGAATGGGGCATGCGACATACAATGTACATGTGTAGTTTAGAGCAACTGTGGCCCTCTTTCAAGAGTCTTTGCCCTACAATGGTCCTTGGCCCTAAAACAATAAGTTATATAATAAGTGAATATACACTAACAGTGAGATAAGAAACAAACATACACTTTGGACCGGCACGTAGGCCATACCTTTTCGCTGATTAGACACACTGTTGGTTACAATGTACTGTATTTGGGGCATGCAAATTTTACCGGCTCCTAGCCAATCAGAGAGCTAGAAAATAAGGTCAACAGTCCAATAACAGTGTTCCCGCTCACTAGGTCACATGTGTGTACACATGGAGGGGTCCATGTGGTAGAGGACAGTGTATGTGTGCCATTAGTGTATGCTTCATTACTTGGTGGTGTTAAGAAAGGGGTTTATCCATACCTGTACCTGTACTTAGCACCTTAGGCAAGTTGTGCATCTTCAAGGGACTTTAAGGACTGTAAGTTCTGGCTTTTGCATTGTATTTTTGTATTATAAACATTGATTTTGTCTAAAATATCAAAATATGGTGCTGGTGCATGCATACTTTAGTGGTAAATGGGCATGAAATTTTACTATATTATTGGGTTGGTACATACTACAAAATGTATATGGCACACTGTGGTATGTGTAAATGTAATGTATTTGTAAGATTACTGTTCATGCATTGTTGTTTCGTCAAAATGTTCTTTCTTCTCCATAAGCCATTGCTAAATTGTGCATTTCACATAATGTAACACTATTGTAACAGCAATAATTTGGTATACTGTAGTAAGACTGGCATATGCATATACACTTTGCAACTGTAAAATGACAATGGTACATGTATATATAGAAGTGCATGTATGGTTTTAACATAGGAGAAATTCTAGAACACCAAAGACAGCCCTGCTTTGAGACCCAGGACAAGCCTTTGTAAATTGTATGGAACTTTTCAATCAGGTCATTGACCCTTTAGAAACTGGGCGGTAGCCAAAGTGGCAAACGCACTTTGATTAAGTCTCCTTGTAGGAGGCTTGAGATCTTTTCTTAAGGGGCTCTGAAGGTCAAGTTCTTTCACAGCTGGATGGCTGTCTTCTTGGCTGTAGCTCTGTGAAAGTCAATGGTTTGAACTTTCTATGGTTTGAGTTTGTGGTTGGAAAAAATAGCAACAACGCACATTTTTATTGGTGGGTGTGGTGAGTTTTTGGTCTGGTGGGCATTTGGGTAGAAAAACTGATAACTTGCAAAGTACCACAAATATTTTTCAGGATAGAGAGTACAGTACACACTACGTACACAGTGTGTAATGCCTTTGTTCTAATCATATGTGTTGTTTGAACTTTGTGACCCTACATTGTTACTTAACCAAGGTGGGTGTGGAAGTGGGTTTTATGTTTTGGATTTAGGCCATGTTTGTTAACTACAGTGGAACGAAACATAGTTGTGGCATACTAGGAGGTCAGTGACCTGCTTTGCTGAGTAAGTTTTGTTGTTTAACCTGCAAATTGCCTACCACCATCAATACGAATTTGGTGCCAAACAGCTACTTTAGCAGGCTGAAAATATCTTGAGGCCTACATGTGGGGAAAAAATGCTGTGTTTCCTTTTTCAGTCCTGAAAACAAAAATTAGGGTCAGTAGGTAGATGTTTTCTTTTCTTTTTCTTTCTTTTTATTTTTAGACTTTGCCAATCTCTACTATATACTGTAGTATCTGTATAGCCGGTATAACCGCCTTTCGGCGTAACACACCAGCTTCGCAGGCACGCGGTGCGGCGGCAGCTGGCTATATTACACCGATCGATTTGTTACAGTACACCTAACCCTTGAACTTCTAGCTCTAGACATTGTTTAAATCTATATCTATTGACAATGCCCCTACTGTACTTGGTGACAGTGAGTTCCACTCTGCGATAGTTCTAGGAAAGAATGAATTCTTGAACACCTCAATCCTTGGTTGATAACTCTGGTACTTGAATGCATGGCTATTTCTTGTTCTCTTCTGGGCTGGTATTAGGTACTTAGTAGTTAGGACATCCACCAGTTTATTAGTCATTTTGTACATCATGCATAGTGATCCAACTCATACAATAAAATTAAACAAAGTAAAACCAAGGAGGACTTTATGAACCTCCTTGGTAAAACTTGCATTCACTCATAGTTTCAATGTCAATGTTGGAAAACTGATTGTACAATGTTTCATCACTCAGGTGTCAGATCATGGAGCTAGAAAAGGTTGATGAGCTCAAAAAATGAATTGCAGTTTGCACTCTGACACACATGTACAAATGTACATGTATATATACATATATTTATATTTTACAATTAAGGGTCCTCGAAAAAATTCTTGCTGCCTAGTACTAGTAGACACTTGAGAATGCATAATGTTTGCATGTACATATATCACATTATTGTACTTGGGCAAAAAAAACGGATGGGTCCTTTTCTAAGTCCCATTCTTGGCACAGAGTCAAGGAACTGAAAGTAAAAGTCCCTATGACTCACATTGCGTGACCAGCCTTGGTTTCACATCCGGATTACCAGCCCTCCACCCAGTCTCCTGTGTACATCTGATAGACTGGTCCTTCCTTCCTTACTTCACCTTATTAAGTCAGGAGCATCGTCAAAGGTAAAATGTTCCATCTTATCTTTTTGATTCAGGCAGTTAGAAATCCTTGGATAATTATGTTTTTCTGATATCAAATAGCAGTTCAGTTTCGTTTTTGTTCCATAAATAAGATTGTTTTTGCAATTTGGCCTTGTAATAAGTTGTATGAGTCATTTGGTGTTTTTGTTTTCAAATCTTGTTTTCACATCAGGGTTTTGTCTTCAGATTTATAAGCATACCACTCTGAAATAATAAGCCATGATAATTATGTCAATTTTTTCACATATTAATTGCATTATCCAGGGCCCTTTCATATTAACATGTATGTGTATATTCATAGTTTTGATTGTAGTGACCAGGCCCGTGGAAATATTATATGTGATCTTTGACTTCAGTCAATATTTGTAGATTCGAATTCATCAAAGGCATTCTCTCTGCTACCTAACCCCATAAACAAATTATAGATCTAGAAAATTGATAGGCAAAATGGCTATACCCCAGTGTGCTAATTTGTTAAAGGTTAAAATGATCATGAGTGAACTGCAATTTGATATACTCATGGTATAAGTCAGCCGTTTTCTTCAATTTGTCAAAGAACACACCCAACCCCAGTGGGCCATTCTTTATCACTTACGCTGTACATGAATGTTTCTAGATAGATGCACATCAGGGTTCTAGCTAGGATTTAATTTTAGCGTAGTGGCACTGGCCGCATCATAAGGGAGCGAAGCGGAGCTTTTAAAAATTTGAGCTTAAAAAGAGGCCATTTGAGGGATACCCAAAGGGGAAAAATTTTATTTCTAAGGTATGTACATGTACAATGTATCCTTGATTTTTCACATTTAATCTGGCACAATGCCCCTATGCTGTATTATAAATTAGCATATTAGGGGGGAAATTTAGCGTAGGGGGTCAAAATTATAGCGTAGGGGGCCCCTACGTATGCTACTTTACACTAGCTAGAACCCTGCACATACATTTTGTACAGCCTATGCATTCCCAGAAACCCTGACAGCCTTGAACTCGCGCCAACTATAGGATTATTGAGTCAATGTCACGCATGGCGAAAGGTTGCAGCTACTAAAATTAGCATACAGACACATGCATGTACTGTCTGGCACTGTCTGCCGGTTTCGCTTGTTTCCAATAGCAGATAAAAACCGGTTTCAGGCGATACACACCGGTTCTGTACAGTAGGTACAAGTTCAAGCTGCGTAAAACTATACGTATACTTAAGACCAGACAGTAAGTATGAGGTTAAATGATCACTCATAGTCATACCTACACTTTTTGATAAGTGCAGTGGGATCTTCAATGTGCTTGAGGTGTGCATGTGGTTTAATGCTCTAATACAGGGTCCTGGCATTGTTGAAATATGTTTCTTAAGATTGGTGTTAACTGTATATTATGCTACTGTAGATTTGTATGCATTCCTGTTATTGGTAGTTAATTATTAGTAAATGAAGCCGTGTGGTCTTTCATCATGCTCTGACTAAGCATTTTTGCTGTTAACATTACGATAAACTACATCTAGTGTATTGTACGAGCTGAAAATTAATGTGTGAATCCTTGCGCCTCAGATTCAGAAACCATTTGGTCTATTTGAAAGTATACTAGTTTCATTAGTTCAAATTACTCTGTGATAAACACATTCATTTTGCTGTAAGCGTAACATTTTGATTCATTTATATTGTACATGTATATGTGGCAGAAAAATTGATACTGTACTGAATTATTCTTTTATTTTCAGATTTTCATAAGCCATTGCTAACTATTGTGTTTTACATAATGTAACATTTAACCGTTACAGCATAGCAAGACTGGCATATGCATATACATTCTGTAATTGTAAAAATGACAATGCCATTACGGTACAGGTATAAATATATATAAGCGCATGTTAATGAATCTATATGTCTATATTTTCCACAGAAGTGCCCTGCAGTCTACATATTGAGCGAACCCTAACCAGTGAAAAACCATGTAACAAAAACAGTACAACCTGACCTACCTGTCAATCATGTTGTTACCATGGCAACACGGGTACCCGCGGGACGGCATCATGGTGCACTTCCACCACGGGAACCACTCGGACCCGTACAAGCCCATCGGGAACGACAGCCTGGACGTGGCGTGTAAGGGATGTTTCGAGCGGTTTGACACGACTGCGTGCGTCCGTAGCGGTCTCATGACCCTGTTCGTGACGGTGACTGGGCTACTGTGTGCTGCCAAGGTATCGTTGTTGTTTTTTTAACTTTAGCCTTCAGGCCACACTGACTTAATTTTATGGATGACATCCTCTAAAGACCCCGGCCCCAAACTAGCCCCCCCAAAATTCTGCTAAACTACAGGAATACAAAGCTGATATTGTGAATATACGGTATACATTCGTACATTATGTTTTGTACATAGTGACTTTTACGACAAGCCGGCACATGATGGCCTTTTGCAGCATTCATGAGTTGGCAGTCTGTACTGAGTTCTTGACTCAAGACTTGAGTTTCATAACTTTCAAGGAGCTTTAGCATTCTGTGTACTGTCCTCCATAGTTACCGTCACGTCCCTATTGTCGCTAGCTACCATGGACTACGGAGAGGTGAAAAATGCAAAAATGAAGCTAACTGCACTAAAAAATTAATAATTTACAGTAGTTCTGTCAATATAATTGCCTCACCTTTGGAATTTGCAAAAAGTATACATGTATTGTAGTTTTTTGTAATCAGTATCAGTCTTTTTTTAAACACTGTGCTCTAATTTGTTTGTTTGTCTGTTTATTTGTTGTGCAGTTATGTCGCCTTCATCAGAAGAACCAGAGAACAGTACATCAGTACATCATATTCTACACAGCTCTGGTGGAGTGTGTCTTATGGTGAGTACCATTAGTCTGTTGCCTTGGAAACGGAACAAACCATGGCGAGTTGTCGGGAGGGGGTAGAAAACATTGTACCACTATTATTCTAGACTGTTAACTTCAGCATTTACTAGGTGAAAATAAAGAGTCAGCCATCAACACAATTTCAAAAGCTGGAAGGTCACCGATTATAAATTAGGCCAAAGTATACGTAGCAATTCATTTTGGATCACCAATATGCTTTTCATGTCAAGTATGGAAGCCAGGCAATAGTTTCAATAAATTTTTAAAGATGTTATTGTATACATATACTTATAGATTTTTTTTTTCTGTTTTATTTCAGTGCAATCCATTGGATCTATGCCCAGTACACTCAGATAGAGTTTGGGCTGCAGTACCTGAAACTGATCCAGTTCTTGGTGGTCTGCCATGTGTACTGTTGTCTCGCTGCAAGGGTTACCAGAAGAGAACAACTATCCTCAAGGTATAGTACTTATTTTGTCTGAAATGAAAACAAAGCAATTAAGACAAACCAGGCTTTCTTTTGTGTGTGTAATTCGAGTTCCGTTGTGCATTTCTTCTCTGAGGAAGTAAGTTAAAATTTGAGGTCAAATTATCGATAAGAGGAAGAATAGTGGAAGAGGTCAAAATGGTCCCTGAAGTTGGAAGGAAGGGACAGTAAAATATGCTCAGAATCAGCTAGAAATTCACTATGAATATGATAAATAAAATAAGAAAATTACATTAATTTTGTAATATATATACTTTATAAAGATGTGAAATCTTGTGTATATGTGTTTACAAGTACGTGTACATACTTTTTACAAAAAGACCAGCTACATGTATCTAATCTTTCTGACTCTTTTATTATTTTCCCCAGAGTTGTAGGTCCCCTGTTTGTGCTGGCCTTTATCTACTTCACAGTTATTGCAGTCATGGGGATGCTGGATGCCAGGTCCTCATGGGTGGACTGTAGAGGTAAGGGGAATAGGTGTACATGTATCTGTTGTCTGTGTTAACAAAATTCTTTTTTTGTGACACTTTCCTTGTTGTACATGTTCCACATTTTTGGCAAATCGAAATCTAAACAGTTATATGTTGTAAAGCTTTTGCTATGAACTGAAACATGTCAAAAAGAAGCCGCGAGGGGGCCCAAAATCTAATCATTTTGAGGTCTTATCAAGACCTACCCACCTACCAAGTTTCATGACAATCCATCGAAAGCTTCTTGAGTTAGGCCTAGGAAAAAAGGATTGTGTTTCCTGTTTCCCAACCGACCCTAGAAAAACCTGCCGACCCTAGCCTTTTTTTGCGTTGACCCTGCAATGGACATAACTTTTTCGAGCTGATCGACCTGTTCTAGCTCAATGATGTAACACCTGAGTGATGAAATGTTGTTCCTTTTGTTCCAGAACCAGAATGGATCCTGCTGTCCTCTATGGAGTTCCTCCTGGTGCAGTTGTTTCTCATCTCAGGGATTTACATCACAAAAAAACTCAACAAGATCAGCACACAGGCCGAGACCAGGAGACAGCAGAAACGCGACCTCTGGGGGTGAGAAAACATCTGACGTACATGTAGTGTGAAAATACAGTACAGGTCTACAGTGACTTTCCTTTGCAAAGTGCAAAAGTTGTACTAATCACAGTCGTATTGTTGTAAATGTGGAGAATGATGTGAACTGTATATCCTAGTTGTACAATATATATCCTAATTTTTCTGCATCGGTACACTGCTTGGATTTTTCACTGACAACCACTTCTTGTTTGAATTCCAGGTTGATTGGTGTTTTTGAGCTGTCTGCTACCATCACACTGATTTATGATATCAACATGTTGATATGTAAGTATTTTATATTAGGAATAGATGCTTCACTTGCAGAGTAAGAAAACAGCTATAAAAATTGTTCCAGCACTAGTAGTATCTTTACTTGTATCAACACAGTAACCTTTCACATAAAAATCCAAATGTACAAAATAATGCCATAATTTCAATTGATAAAGTATGTTTTCAATCTCTTTTGTTAAATCATGCATCTCATTTTCGCCTCCTATTTTAGGGGCAGATGAAGACAACGGTTGCAGCGGTGTCTTTGTAAGTATTCTTCTTCTTGTCACAGAATTGAAAGGAGTAGAGGAAGCCACATTGTAATTCTTCTTCTTGGTTTGGCTTTGTAATTATACATTGTAGTTATATATACATTGTGGAAAACAACAGAATGAAAATAATATGAAGAATGTAGTAGAATACGTTTTCATGTTTGTAAAAAATGTCCAAACTTTACTGCACATTTTTGCTGCCCCGGGCTAAGTAGGCCAAAACAAAACATGATACAGTTCACTTATTATAAGATATACATGTACCAAAAAAGTGTCACTGATGAAAGGAAGTGGATGCCTACCTGAAAAGTCTAACTGCTTCCAAAATCATGTTCAGTTGCTTGACTGACTGTTTTGTTGGCATAGTACATGTATAGTTGATGTTTGATTGTACAATTATATTTCCCCCTTTAGCTGCATGCCCAGTGGTTCTACTCCCTGATCTATGCCCTGTTGGAGCTGTTGAAGTTCATGCTGCCCATCTGGACCATGCTGTGTGTGTTCCACCCTGTGGAGGCAGCGTCTACCGACTTCGACTCAAGCTGGGCTGAGGATGGGGTCAGTTATTTTCTCTCCTCTCTGTGTGTAGTGGATTACATTGTTTGTTTTTGTGTGTGTTTGTGTGTGTGTATGTACATGTGTGCATTGTGTCTTTGTGGGTCTTTACGTACAATGTACATGTACACGCTGTTTATGTATGTGCGTGTTTGTGTGTTCATGTGTTTGTGTGTGTATGTGTGCATGCATGCATGTATGTGCGTGTTTACATGTGTGTGTGTATTTATGTATGTATGTATGTGTGTGTATGTGTGCTTGTGTGTATGTGCATGCATGTGTCTATATTTCTGTGTGTGTAAATGTGTGTATTTGTGCTTGTGTGTGTGTTCGTGAATACAAATGTGTGTGTCTGTGTTTTCACGATACCCAAGTAAAGCATTATGTGTAGCTAATCAGTGTGTCTCGTGTGTATGAAAACTGTGTTTTCACGATACCCAAGTGAAGCATTATGTGTAGCAAATCAGTGTGTCTCGTGTGTATGAAAACTGTGTTTTCACAATACCCAAGTAAAGCATTATGTGTAGCAAATCAGTGTGTCTCGTGTGTATGAAAACTGTGTTTTCACAATACCCAAGTAAAGCATTATGTGTAGCTAAACAGTGTGTCTAATGTGTGTATGAAAACTTCAACTACACAACTATCTTTTGCATTACCCCAACGACAATGCCTTCATGGTACATTTGTACATGTTTATATATGATTGTACCATTTTACTCCATTTTAACAATTTTGTGTGTCCGTTCCTACAGACATACACATCAGTGTTCAGCCCCCAGCGTGGAAACCGTTACCGTCGACTGCAGAATCCCACCATGGCCAGCAGTCCCGCAACCCTGCACAACAGTCGCTCCTTCCCTGTCCTGCCTCCCATACATGAGGAGGAGACCAGCCCGCTTCCTTCTGTGTAGCAACCTTGCAGGGTTCTGAATATTATCTGTGTTGGTAGTTACATACATGTTTAGAGTTAAAAGTTTAGATCCAACACAAAAAGTTCTCGCACCTAGAGCTTTCGACCAGTCACTCTGGTCTTCCTCAGTAGACTGACCCAAAGAAGCTACATGTACGTGACAAGCCTCACTGGGTCAGTCTACTGAGGAAGACCAGAGTGACTGGTTGAAAGCTCTAGGTAAGAGAACTTTTTGTGTTGGATCTAAAGTTTTAACTCTAAGCACAGTTCGAAATCCTTTTTTCTCAGGTTGCCCACTAAGCAACCTCGGAAAAAAGCTAGGTTGCCCATCAATTTGTCAGGTTGCAGTCAGCACCGACTGTCTATTTTATAAGGCAAGTACATATAGTAAGCCAGGCCATCTGTAAAAGTTATCTCTCACATGCTGGTCGAGGCGGGACACAATTTATTTCAGGAGACATAACTTCCATACCAAGCAACCTGGCATCTCTAGTAAGTCTAGAACAGAATCCATGACCTGTGCTGCGAGAGTGGGTATTTCGAATCCTGCATTGGTTTGCTTTGAAAGCTGACAGACATCTGAATACTGAATTTGGTAGACCTCTCAAAGTACATGTTATGCAAAACAAGTCAAGCAACTGGATATATTCACAGAAGAGTCAGACATTTCAGATGTTACATTTAATGTAGTAACTTGGAGTAAGATGAAATATTGCCGATGCCATCTGAAATATCTGACTCTTCATAGAATTTACCCAGTTTCTTAATTTTTTTTTTATTACGTAATGTTCTACCTGAATGTCTAACTTCCATCAGCCTGCAAAAATCAGTGAAAATTACACAAATTTACATGTACATATGCTTCTCATAAAAGAATTTAAATGCCAAGCTTGGCTATGCAGCACGTCGGCAGAACGTACTGGGCCTGCGCGAAACCCGTAATGTATTGTACATAGCATTTCGGCAGAATGTCTCATATAAGGTTGTATTCGCTCATATAACTTTATAAGGTTAGCATTTCGACAGTAGTTTCAAAATGTTATGTCAGAAAGGTTATGTCAGAAAATACAGGGTTCTGCGCAGGCGCAGTACGTTCTGCCGACATGCTGGCTATGCTAGGTAAGGTACATTTGTAAATGTTCTATCAGCTTCTCTGTGATTGCACTATTATATTATATTACATGTTTCTCTAAAATTAATGGCTTGACTGAACTGATAGTAACATTCTTTGCAATATTTCGATAGCAGAACTTTTCCATGAGTCTGTAGAACTTTTTCTGAGGAGCTATGAATGATTTTTCTGAATAAGCAGTCATCGAAAACCTTAGGAAACCTACCCCCGGTAGTACATACATACTTGTACATGTACATCTATTGAGAAAAAATTGTTCAAGAAAGAAGTTGGTGTTGTCAAAAAAACTTAACTGTTGTCTTAGATACACACCTACATGTATATGTGAACTTATTGTGTAAATATTATGACTGGAATTCCATACCGTATTCCTCTATTGGACTGAGCATAAATATGTGCTGTTAATATTAGTGGTATCATAATTGCGTTCCTTTTCAACAATTTAACTAACATCAGAGACCTGTTTTTCTGATTTTATTTCGATTTCTTATTTAGATTACAGTACTATACTAGATGGTACATTTAGTTTTACTGTAGTGAAAATGAGCATTCTTACCATTGATGCCTTCTGAGAAGACTTGTTACATGTAGTCTTGATTTTGATAGATTTTTGCGACAGCAAATTGCATTCTGTAACACAGGCAATTGTTACATGTACAAACTAGCAATACTCTCATTTCTATTCCTCTATTTGTCAAAGATTTAGTTCAGAGTTTCGTTGATGTTTTATGAAAAACTATTTGACAATTTCTGTAACTTTTCCTATGATTTTCTGCAACTTGAAAGTTGGAAATTTTACGAGCCGTGAGGTTTTATGTTAAGATAAATCATGTCAGGTGATATTAGATGGATTTATGAAATATTATGTGTAGCAGATGTGATATTTAATGTTTGATGATTGTATTTTGTTACACCAATGTCAAACTTGCAGCATTTGAAGCCACATTTTAAGTTGTCAATGAGTAGCATTCAAAGATGTGTGATAGTGCTCTGCGATTACTCAGAAGTTAATAGTAGCATCTACCGAAACTAAAATTTTCCAGATGAAAATGATAAAAACTGTAGTACTTTTTTCTAGTTGTGGAAGATGTTAACTATTACAGTTGCAGATGTAGAAATATCAGAAATAGAATTTCAACTGAGTAGAGCTTGAAAAACAATCATGAGATAATATTTCAGGTTCACATTCCAACAGTGAAAGACTCATTTTAATTTTGTAGATTTTTTTTTACCACAGAAACTGAAATTGTGGTTTTTAATTTTTTTAGGACATCTTGTATTTTAGTGTCAACGAAGCTACTTTTTGTAGTATTCCAGCAAGATACTGTTTTAGGTTAGTTTGGGTGAGAGTATTTGATTTTAGTGAGGAAATAAGAGTATGGTCAATAATTTTGCTGATGTACAAATTAGGTGACTGGTAGGATATCTTTACTAATAACATTGTGAATATTGTTTATCATTAATAATTTATAATATTTTTGTTGTTTGTAGTTGATTTTGATCATTTATTGAGGAAAAATTGTTGGGTTTTGTTCTTTTTAGTCATATTTATCTACATGTAGTTGGAAGATATTTATTATGATTGTAATTTAACATATTGTTAAGGAATTTTATTTGTAACATGTATATTGAATGATGATATGTTGTTTATTTATCCATACTCTATAATTATGATTTACCAAACAATTAATGACCAGGGTGTAGCTTGTGCTTGTAAAATATGACATGTTTCAATGTCGGTGCTGCAGTTCTAAAGTAGAACAATAGGGGGAGCTGCCAACGCACATGGCCGTTGCACAGAAGCACAACCCTACAGTATTGTACATACAAGAAACTTCCGAACTTGTAGTCTACGTGATAAATTGTATGTCTGTACAGAAAGCTTCAAATACATGAAGAATCAGAGAAAAAAAGTTGAATCTTGTATTTGTGTGAGTATATATCATTTGAGTCAGTGAAAAAAAAAAACATGTTGAGTTTCGAAACTTGTATAATTCTGAAGCACACGACAATATGTACAATGCACAAAAATCCGTATATGATTCAATGGTAAGTTTTTTTTTACACATTATATACAAATAAACGAGTTTTGCAAATCTAGGACTTAAAGTTAAACACCCTACCGCGAACATCTAATACTATTCAATGAGGTCTAAGTGATTTTTGTAGGTTCCAAATTTATTACATTTCGAAATGTAATAACGTCGCAAATCTGTAGAAGAACTTGGTTACAACGTTTAGACAGTAAAACTACCACGCACTAAAAAAACATGTCACTTGAAATATATACATGTATTACCTACGTGTTTAAAGTCAAAACTTTTGGTCCAACACAAAAAATTCTCTCACCTAGAGCTTTCGACCAGTCACTCCGGTCTTCTTCAGTAGACTGACCCAGTGAAGCTTGTCACGTGGCTTCTTTGAAGTGTGACGTCAAAGGTATCTGGTAGACGATGTCGGCGACGTCACACTTCA